TATACACATTATTTATACCCATAAAGTTTATGTTATCTCCCAATATGTTCAAATAGTTTTAAACTCCGGCAAATCTCGCTTTTATCGACTATTTATTTCCGATTGAGCTTACGAATGACGTTTAATTTTCATGTGACCTGATCATTTAAGCAACACCATTGTTATCGACCGTAATATTTAACTAACAAAGAAGTAAATTATCGGTACACGTGTCGCAATATCTCGTTATTTTATACCCGCATGCTGTAACAGCTGATACCTTGCGTGTATCAGTGCACTGTAAATCAAATTATTATTGATTTTACACAACAATAATACAAAAATTCAAGTACGATATACTTTGTGTCATTAACATTGAATTTTAGATGTGCCCCAAGTTGTCTACTTTTATTTCCATTTAAAAATTCTTTGACCAAGTTAAAGTTTCCGGTAAAGGAGGATTAATCTAATTGAACCATCTTTCGCCACAGCTTTTTAACATTTAGTCTCCAATATCATTCTAATCAATCCATAAATTAAAAATCTATTAAAATGGTTTATTTGGTATTAAGTAAAAAATAAGAAATTCTATCTATTTTTATCTCTAAAGTTTAATTCGTAAAAATTCCTTAAATTTTTACTTACAAGAAAAAAGATATTAGTCAGAATTTATATTTAAGTAAAGTAAACATGAGAGATAAAAGAATTGGTATAAATCTGTAAGAAAAAATATAAGAGTCGTGTATATGAATACAAATAATAATAAATATTATCAAAAAATCGAGCATGAATAATAATAAGCATCGACTTTTATATCGTTAACAAGTTAATATATCGAGAGTCATCATTTTAAAACAACCGCAATATCATCTATCAGTTTATCTTTTTTTTTATTTAAACTTTTGACAGATTAAAATTCGAAATCAGTAAATCAAAAGTCACAGGTTCCGTAATTGCTTCGTCGCAACTTGTTCCTTAAATATGCATTTAAACCAAAAAGAGTTGAAACTGATTTCGCAGAGTTTAACAGTGTTTAATTAGAAACTTTATACTTGAAAGTGGTCTGGGGGTAATTAAAAGTCTTAACGAATGCTTGATACCGGAAACGCAATTTGGATTAGCTACATCTCGATCCAGCTGCCGAACAAACCATATCTCGTAACAGCTGTGCAAGCTGTAATTATCTCATATCCTCATATGGGGAACAATATCAAAGTAAAGCACTATATATACAGACGTAGCAAATTCACAGTATACATTATGCGTATAACGCAGTGTCATTAAAATAAATAAATTTTTACATTAAAAATTTTATATCGCTAGAAAATATTTTATAGAATGTAAATGGAAAAAGTTTATTAAAAAACTTGTTGCCTGTTTATCAAATCAATCGCTAGAATTCTAAAAACTCAAGAGTTCTAACATATCTTATACGTAACACGTACATTATATGTATATGTAATCGTTTTATTATAAAATAAATGTTACGTATTAATATTGATAAAAGTCTGTACGAACAGTTAACTCTGTATAAATAATAATCAATTGACATTTTTTTACATAATTTGTACATTTACATGCAAAATATATGTCCATATAAATTATTATTGTATAGATAAATTGTGTACATTATAAATTATTGCAATAATTTCCAATTTTCTAGAACATTTTTTTTTAGTTTGTAATTTAAATAATAAAAAATATATACATATACATATATATTTTAAAGTAAGAGAAAATCATACGTATATACTTCATATATAATGAGGTATATTCATAATGAAGCTACTAGAATACGAAAAACACAGTAAAAAATTTTAACGTTTTAAAAATTGCAGCATAAAATATAAGTTACGGATGTTTAAACCTGAATATTCCACATGAATAGAAAATTTTTTTCCATTTTTGCGTAATTTGTAATTTATAATTTCATTAAACAATAATAAGATTAGAATTAACAATATTTATTTTATATAATTTCATTAAAATTATGTTACAGATTCAATCTTTTTCAATAAAATGTCAAATAAACTATAACGATAATCTAAACACGAAATACGATCCCATATATTAAATATTTTTAACAATTTTAGTAACCACGAACAAATAACTTCTTAAATCACAAATTCATGTATATGTATGCGGCTCTTGTTTATGGTAGCTTTATACAATAGCTTCGCTCTCTTGGTTAAAGGTTTGGTTTTTGATAACTTTATGCACATACCTTTATAATAGAAATCCTTTAGAAATCCTGAACGCTGATATTAAGATGCGCGGTGTTCCAAGCATCCACACTTGCTTTTGATCATGAATAGTCCATATCTGAAAACGATATTTTTCGTTTTAATATCTAAAAAAATATCGATAATATTCAAGTTATAAGTTACACAATTAAAATATCCTTTTCTTTCATAGTTTGAAGCCTTTTCCATTTACATAATTTACTTTATTTTCCTCGGGAAAAAATGAAGATTTCATTATATATGTGTGGATCAAATTAGATCAAATAAGATCAAATTGTATCTGATAAGATTTAGTTTTTAGATATAATCAGATCTTCAGAAATCTAACTTGGCCTCACATGATTGATATTATATCTATTAAAATCTAAATAGATAATCTGCGATATAAATAAAATACTATATTGAATATAAAGAAAGCATATTGTAGATTTACGAGAATATATTGATATATATGAATATTTAACTTTATACAATGAAACTAAATATAATAAATATTAGATCTACAGAGATATAATAATATCAAAGAAGATATAGGTATATATGTACAAGTGTAATCTGATAAAAATTGGCGTACATATCTACAGAGATCTACAGAGATATAATAATATCAAAATAGATCTACAATCTTGGCCAAAGGTATAAGGCAGTAAGGCACAATTGCAATTTTGTCGCATTTTACGAAAAGTTAAGTATCTTGACGAAAAAAAATCTCAGAGGTTTTCAACCACGCATTTTAAAGCTTAAAAATATATTATATCTACTGAGATAAATGTTTATATATTAGGATATAAATAGATCAAAGTATATCTACATCGATCTACTTTGATTAGGTCAAAATGAAGACCTCTTATGATCTTTTTTTAGATCTAATGAGATCTACATATATATAGTGAAATCTTCTTCATTTTTTTCCCGGGTCTGTTTACTTCTACATATATTTCGTTTTAGAACTTATTTAATGAGACATTTGATAATTAATAAACCGTGAAAAATATGCCCAATTTCAAATCCTGATTTAATTATCGCGGAATTTTCAGAGAAATTTTCAGGAATTTTTATGATAATGGAACATATTAAATCATGCAGGATTTATTATTCGCAGTTTATCGGATTCTATATAGTGCATTGGATATGAAATGTGACCAAACAAGGCAAATATCGACGCTAGCTTTACACACAAATGCACTTAGGTATTGTACATCGGCCATCGGATCGCCAATTATCCAGCCATATGCAGGAAGGGCAGGTGCACGAGATGCTGACAAACTCGACGTATCCCGATAAACTGCCGGAGGAAATGCACGCGCTTAGAGAAAGCTACTAACGACGCAAAAGGGATGAATACATCTGTTTGCTCATTATTTATAAATGTTAGTACGCTATCACTATCATGAAATAATTCATCATCAATAATCAAAAATGTTAGTCCCCATTCGCTATGCAATTCTCTATAGTAGAAAATCCATTGCCGCACTACCACCATTCAATTACAAACATTATCGAGAACAAAATGGAAAAAAAAGAGATAATCTCTTTATATATACCTAAAAAATGTCGATAACTGTAAAATCATCTGTGATGAAAAATTAAACTAATAAAATTCAAGATTAACAATGCCATGAAAAAATTGAAAACCATAAGAAATAACATTTAAATTATGAAAATTGTTGTAGTAGAAATGTTATTCATTATTAATTTTATGAAAAATTCTACAACATAGCTCCGAGTTATTTCCCTCGGGCATAAAATCATGTTCATTTGTATTTCACAATAATTCATGATTCCAGGAATCATTTGAATGAACGAATTTAAGTGCGCGTGACGTCTTTCGATACAACGAAAACGTGTTGCAAAATTCATACACTACCGCGTCCACTTAATTCTTAATATTTAGTGCATGCTCTTTTCCATCACGCTACACTTTCCGCAATTTTTTTACTAAGAAGAGATCTTCGTTACAATAATATTTCATAAAATCTCTAGCTTTTGTTATGCAAGGATATAAATTTCACAATCGCACATAAAGCAAAGAATAAACGAACGTTGGATAAACCGGCTTTGTTGTCAACGTTACGCTCTATATCCGTAATATCCATGAAAGTCAGTTTATTAGCATTATTAATTATGAAAGGATTCAAGTCAAATGAATATGGAATATATTATAGGAAACTGATAATACATCACATCTACGCTCTAAAGAATTCTAATAATAAAGGTTTTGATAAAAGACGATATTATTTTTTTTTACAAGGTTCTTAAAAGTCGACAAAAATTGTAAAAAAATATAAAATCCTTTTAAGATCTCTCTGATTGTATAAAATATCGTAAGAATACATAAAATTTTTTTTAAAGTTATATTTTAAAAATATTATAAAAATATATTGTAAAAAACACTGATTTCAAAAATATAATTTTATAATATCAAAAATATGTAATTTTTTTATCTACATATAATATACAATATTCACAAGATTGTGTAATCACATTTTTAAACATGTATTTACCAAAAATAATTTAATTCGCTCTAAATTTAATTTAATTCTTTGTGTAAAATAAATGTATTTATATTATTCATATAAATTCTATTTTTTTATCAGAAATCTATTTTTTTATCTTATCTAATTGCTTATCAAACAAATTTTATGTCAAACAAATTGTAAAACAATTATACATAACCTCATGTTTGCACGCTGTACTTACTATCGGTAAATTAGCAGGCTTATGTATCATATGATAATAATAGTCTACTTCTATGTTTCATAACAATGCTTTCTTGCGTCTCTTGTCACGCACGTGTAATGTGTTCTCGTCATTTTTATATTATTGTGTATAAATTCATCTACATAATATAAATCCTGACAATTACGTATAAGGCAGTCAATCTTTGTTAAATTGCGTTATAAGAAAAATCAATTTTAAAGACAAGGTATTGCAGTAAGTAAAGCACAGTAATAACGAACAATAACAAGTAACAGGAGATTAAAAACATCTTTACAGGATAACACTCAATATGAATGATTCCGACGATGACAGTTCCGATAGCAGCAATGATTTCGCCGGTATCACGCCAAAGGATGAACTGACAGCGAGTTTCTTTTCAGTAAAACCGGTGACAAAGCCTAACCTAGTAGACTCGAAGGACAATAGCGAGGATGAGAGCAGCGACGATGAGAATTTCGCGAGTGTGCCCGAGAACAATAGCATCGAACTGTTCTCGGAAGTGGTCAAGAATCTGGAAGCCTCACAGAGAGCTTCTGTCAATGATGAGGAGCCCAAACAGTATTTTTCCAAGTACGATAGTACACACGTCAAGAAAGAAGTCAAAACAGAAAAGAAGAAAAGTATATCTGACGAGATAAACGCTGTTTTGCTCCAAGGAGAAAGTGGAACACAAGCATTCCGCGAGGATGACGAAGACACGAATGACGACGAGAAACAAGAAGAAGTTGTTAAACGTCCTGAAGATTATACTATACCTAAAGAAGGTGTCCAAATAACTTTACCCGGTACGAGTATGATTTTCAAAAAGAAAAAAGCCAACAAAAAGGAATCAGATCTGGCTGCGCTTCTGCGAAAAAAATTAAAAGCTAATCAGATTATTGTAGAGAAAGCAGCTAGACTTTGTTGGTTGGCATATGGATTTCACTTAAATCATCAAGCGAATGAACCTGAGATAATGGCAACAGCAGTATCTCTCATATCAACAAAAAGTTATCCAAAAGATAACTTTAGTTTAGAATACCTGGAAAAATTTACAAAATGGTTTAAAAATATGTTTACAATACAATCTAGTGATGATCAAGTCATTATAAATAACGAGACGTTATTAAAAAGAACCGCGGAGAAGAAAATTTATAATTACAGGGAATTAGTAATATTATATGTAGCAATACTGAGAGGTATTGGCTTACATTGTCGTTTAGTAGTATCTCTCAATCCACCACTTGTAAAAGCTTATAATGAATTACTGCCTAAAACAAGCACAGTGAAAAAAGATAGTCAAATTAAAGACGAAACAAAAGCGAAACAGATATCCCCGAACGAAGATAAGAAAAATGTGAATTCAAAGGAAGATAAGAAAAATGTGAATTCAAAGGAAGAGAAGAAAAATGTGAATTCAAAGGAAGAGAAGAAAAATGTGAATTCAAAGGAAGAGAAGAAAAAAATGAATTCAAAGGAAACTAAGAAAAATGTAGATTCAAAAAAAGATCTCAAAAATAACAGTATAATTCAGAATAACGAAAGTGCACGAAGAAACGCTAATGAAGAAGCAAAAAAAAGGGCAGCAGAGATTCTTCGTTCAAAGTATTCATATACTAAGAAAAACAAAGACAAAGTAAATAGCAATATAGTCACACAAGATAATGCTTCTACATCTAAAAATATAGAAACAGCTTCCACAAGTTCAAGAAAAGTAGAGTCTGATCCATCTCCAAGGCGTTTAAGATCTAGTAAGCCACATGATGTTCTATCCACTTCAACCAAGCAACAAAATAAGATTATTTCAGAAGATAACCAATCTAAAACAAAAAGTTCCAAGAGACAGTCACGAAGTAATAGTTCGAGTTCCGAAGAAGAAGAAAAGCCGCCTAAAAAAGCAAAAAGGAAATATAGTGATAAAAATAAAACGGTCATTAAATCTAAAAGAAAGAATGAAAAACAGGATCAAGCATCGACAGATGAAGAAACGGAAAACAAATTGAAAAAGAGACAAGATGTATGGGCCGAAGTATATATGGAATCTAAAGCAAGCTGGATATGTGTAAATGTTATGGATGGAAATGTAGATTGTGTAGCTGAAATATACGTGAGTAATTTGAGAAAATAACAGATTTCTATAATTATACAAAAGTACTCTTAATTATTCTGTATACAAACAAAAGATTTTTATGAAGTTCATTGTATGACGTTTCAGAAAAAAGCAAGCAAGCCAGTATTATATGTGATAGCTTATAATTCGGAAAAATTAGTAAAAGATGTTACAAGACGTTACTGTCCACAATGGCTTTCTGTCACACGTAAACAGCGTATTGATGAGAAATGGTGGATTGAGACTTTAAGTTATTGGCAAGAAAGGGAGACGACCATGTCTAAACAAGAAGATGAATTACTATTGCAAAAGTAATCTCTCTTTTATTCATTTTTCTCTAATCATATATTTTTAATCCTATCCTACTTATTTGGGCATAACTATGATGTGAACGATATAAAAAAAGATCTGAAATATAACAAAGCACTATTGTTTTCATAGGGAATTGGAGCAACCATTGCCTAAAACCGTTGGCGAATGCAAAGGGCATCCATTATATGTTCTTGTCAGGCATTTACTCAAATACGAAGCCTTGTATCCACCAGATTGTGTACCATTAGGACATTTGAAAACAGGCGAAGCTATTTATTCACGGTATTGCGTATATACGCTATCCTCACGAGAAACGTGGCTAAAGAAAGCTCGAGTAGTTAAACCGAAGCAGGATCCTTACAAGATAGTTAAAGCACTTCCAAAATATGACAAGGTAAAATTGATAAGCATGATTTTCTCTCTCTCTCTCTCTCTCTCAGGATTCTTCAGAATTTAACTAAAAAAATCAATTTAGCTCCATTTTATAAAAATCATTAAACGAAATATGCGACAAAAATTTTTCAGCTTTCAGGTATGAGATTGAAAGATTCTGCATTGGAACTATTCGGAGAATGGCAAACTACAGACTACGTTCCCCCAGAAGCTAAAGATGGTATTGTACCTCGAAATGAATATGGAAACGTGGATTTATTTAAAAAATGTATGCTTCCAAAAGGCACAGTACACATAATCCGTAAGTAATATATCTTTCATATTAACAGCAGGATATCTCTTTTACATTTTATCATATTATTTTACATTGAGTAAAATGAATAGTAAAATTAATGTGGAAAATTTTATAAATATGTTAAAAGAATTTATATTTTATACAAAATGAAAGCACCGAATGTTGCAATGTATCTCTGATGCAAATTTAATGAATGAATCCTTGTAGTTCCAGGATTAAATCGTATCGCGCGGAAATTGAACATAGATTGCGCGACTGCTGTAGTGGGTTTCAATTTCGGTTGCATGGGTGCTGTACCAGCCATTGAGGGCTATGTTGTGTGCGCTGAATACGAAGACACATTACGAGAAGCTTGGGAAGCAGAACAAATTGAAGCGGCTAAACGAGCTGCTGAAAAGATTAAGAAAAAGGTTTACGCCAACTGGAGGAAACTTATTAGAGGTTTACTCATTAGGGAGAAACTACAGCAAAAATACAATTTTAGAGAAGAATCTAAAGAACCGTCAAACAAACGTCCAAAATCACAAAAGGATGCCGTAAAGAAATCCAAAGCACAATAGAATACAAAATTGTGTGATTAATTTATATACATATTAATTTAAAAATACATATTATGTTTAAAGAAACCAATGTATAAAATTCCGAATTTAATAATATTACTTTAATATTCGCACGCGCGCGCGCATTCAGATTATGTATGATTTATACTGTTGTGAATATTTTTGCGTGAATTAAATTATTTTTATAGCATATAATGCAGTCTACGTAATGTTTTTGTCATTTCCATATGTATTGTAACGAAGAATGTAATTTTATATAAATATGTACATATTTTTATTTATATTGAATTTTATAATATCATATTTGTGCAAAAGGAAAATATTCGAATATTTATTTCTATTTCTATATTTATTGTATTAATATCATTAATATTATTTTACAATTATTATTTATCAATAGTTTGATAAATAATAATTGTAAAATCTCACTGAAATATTTATATCAATTTATATTTTGCTTATTTTCAATCTCTCATATTACCTTTAAAATTTTAACTATATTTATTATGCAATGCATAATAACGTGTAGTACGTAATCTATATGAAATTATCTATACGAGATCAGATTTTTCGTAGAACTAAAGAATAATCTAATTTCACTCTTCCGTAACTAACCGTCTTATCCATTTTTATTTAAATCTAGCATTATTCAAACATTTTTGGATTTCTGAATTTTGTTGGATCTTTGCGAAAGGGAGCAATAATCGTACCCGGTTCTGGAAGTTCTCGTTCCGTGAATATCAATTTTCTCATCTTAGTGACGTGAGGATAATTTTCCCTTAAATTAATGTACTTCTCATTAAGCGCGCATGACTTTTTGAAGATATTAAATATCATACGATGCTAAGGAACAGCTTATTACATGCAGAAAAATTATCTACAATTCCGAATTACCTGCGACCGAAAGCGGGGGATCATTACGAATAACATTGCGATTTAATAAGTCATTGCCGGTTTTTTTCACTCGCGGAAGTACACCGATTAGGTTTTAAGCAGCCATATTTGAATTTCAATACCTTGTCGTTGTCCTGAACGCATCAATGAGAAATAATCTCCAGCCCTTCCCCCCTTCGTTATAGATATATATATTTCCTTCGTTCTCTTATTTATGCTAGTCTTTCTCATGTCTCGAATCTTTTTTCTTTAACATTTTAATAAATCTTTGCGCGGCCGCGCGCGAGAATTCGCGATTGTGCCATTACTTGCTTGAGCCGCAGCCGCGGATGCTAATTTCAATTCTGTTCTTTTATGCGATGACTATTCGGCAGTATTATATAATACGCTTTGAGATTAACGGCTTAACGGTCTTCATGCGGAAAAATTACCTGGATTTCCGAATATCTGCGCGGCTGTGCAGTCCAAAATTCGCAGCTCATTACAGACGCGACGTAACATTACGATTCGCGCGCGCGACAAACTGCGACACTGCGACTCGCTTGTCGCCCGTTCGCGCGCGAACAGATGAACGGCGCGAACAGGAGAAACGGCAGAATAGCGCGCCATATTCAAATTTCAAAAGTAACAATTTTCGAAAAACAAACGCTAGAAATGAAGCGTTTTAACATAAACACCTCATTGCTGCTATTCTTTCTTCCTTTAAACTTCTTCCTTTAAATTATCAATATAGGTTTAATATAAGCAAAAATTTACGGTAACCTACAAAAATAGCTTGTTTTATTTATAACAACTAATATTTTAGATCTGAATCTATGTATAAAATGATAGCCTGAGGTCAAACATATTAAAAAATCGAAACTTCTTATATATAAATTTTTCTTACTAATTAATATTTAATTTCAAAGAAGACACATGGATAAGAGATTTATTTTTCTGAAGAAAAAATGAGTTAATTTAAAAATTATGAGTATCCAGGAGGATCAAATTACTGTAATTATACATATATTGAATATTGTAAAAATATTAACATTTATAACGATTTTACAATACATAACTAACATTTTTTTAATAACAAATATTTTTAATATAAAAATTAAAAAATTTTATTTTACTTAAATTTTACTGCTAACTGATTGAGTAAAGAATTTACTTTAACAATGTTTAGAGTCTATATTTACAAGAATTATTAGCTATAATAATTAATTGAGTAATAATAGAATTATTACTCAATTAATTATTTCCAAAGGGATGGTTTCCTCGAGATCGCGGCTGTTCAATTTGAAAAATATCGCTTATATATATGTCATGAGACTGCAAGGCGGCAAAGGATAACTTATGCAACTTCCATGAAAGTGTGTCAAAAACAGTGTTCTCGAGTAATAGGCGTATTTTTGCTCTAGATAGTTATGCACTCGCCCTAGGTGGAGCTTCTATATTAGCCCGAATCACGAAAGCCGTCCTGAAAACTGGTTCAATCTAAATTCAAGTTTCTTCTTTGTAATAAGACCGTTCTTTGCTACGGAAGTGCAATAATACCTTGGCCAAAATTTTCTCAATATTTACATCTTAATATTGAATAATCAAGAATATCACAAGTCAACAGCGTGCCTTGTACTTGTTTCTAGTCAGCAAAAGTTTGAAACAAGATAAAAGGATCAATTATAAGGTAAAAAGTTTCCTTGACGTAGGTTGAATTTATGTTTCAAAAACTTCATAAAAGATAAGATTTTCCTTCTGTTCTAGCTTCGGATAAAATTTATGCACATAAATCACATTCAATACAATATTGTTAACTTCTAAGAGATTTAACTTCTAAGAGTGTTTTGAAAATGATGTAAAACTATATTTTACAATTTATCTAGGAATACTTTCTTTAGTCTTGTATAATTTTTTGTATACATAAAGAGTTTATTTTTAAACTTATTAAATTTAAAAATAATTGGAGAAGATAAACATGGAAAGAATGGTTTTGTTAAAGTATTTAAAAATTTAACTACGTATAAATACAGATTTAAAAATAATTTTATGAAGCTAAATAATTTGAAGGATGCTCAAACCGGTTGCTAGAACGTTGAATTTTTTTGCAGCAATGCTTATCATGCTTGAATTAACATACATAACATTATTTTAAAAATTCGACAAACTTATTTTAGATCTAAATAAATTTTTAGATACTTTAGCAAAATTATTCTTTCCATGTATAATCAATTTTTATGCAGTACAAAGATTTTAACGTATGCTAGAAAACAAAAAAGATTTTAGTAAAAAATTATTTACAATTTTTTACACTTGTTAAATTTGTATAAATAGAAAATAAGTAAACGCAAATTCTTTTTAGGTAGTACATCAATTTGATAAAATATTTACGTTTCTGAATTAATTTTATTTCACTTTTAAAAATATTCTTTTTTCTATATGATTTATATTTCTCTACGAAATTTTTTTCTTAAAACTAGCAGAGTCCAAAAATCTAGAAATTAATGGACGAATCTGTTGAAATTGGGATTTCTAAAAGAAGATAAAATTAGCTAATGAGAACCAAACGCGGGATGTTAGAGCATAGTATTTATATGTTTATTGAAATAAAATAAGAGACAAATATAGTAATATTTGTGGCTCCAAGAATAAATCTAATACAAATAAAATGCCTATATGGATAAGAGCCTTTGCGGAGATTGCGAATGTTGATGTGTTTAAATTATATTCATAATGCAATAGACACTCACAATTATAGTTTGTACTTGACTTCTGCACTGAAGAGGACTCAATCCAGAGTAGAAATGTTTAAGTTTATTTTAAGTAATTTCGTTTGGTAAGTATATCCCAATTAGTTGCGAATTGTATCTATCGTATTATTAATATATAATTTACGCACCAACATCCGCGGAAGCTCATGTAGACATTTTACTTGTATTAAATGTTTATTGTTGAAATACTACGTAAGAATCGCAATCAGTATTCGCATTGTATTGGGCCTTTTAAAATACTGCAGTCGACTCACAAGTCAATTACAGAAGATATCGAGTGTCACAATAATGAACGTCATAATTAGAATTTCTAATGTTATTTTAGATATTCTGCCTTTTAAGATTTGTAACACTTGCACTTGGAACTTCACAAGCTTCAGGAACATTACACATTATGAGAAATAATCATATATTCTCCTTATATGATGAAAGTTTTCCATTTTCCGAGACGTGCGTCAACAATCGATCATCCGTCCGAGATATATGATCTTCGCCTTGCCTGACGTAACCTATGCAGAGTTGATCGATCATTAAGCTCGCCTCTCGTTCGTTCCGGTGCACTCGCACGTGCGCATGCATTGCACGGCTCCTGGTACTACGCCACACGGTTTTAGCTGTCCAATTTCATATTCACAGTCAAGTACAGATACCGCACACATATGCAGATAGCTGCATTAGCACTTCGATGGTGCATACTCGTGTATAAGGCACGCGGAGTGCACGTTTATTTCAGAATGCGAACTTGAACTTAGACTCGTTCGAACACGGACTCGCGAAGAATGATCAGGAAATTGGCAATTAGAAACGAGCAAGAAGTTCGATTTATTTCGACCACGAGAACGGCAAGGAAATCAATTTTAAGTATTCTTCGGTTTCCTTGTTATCCCCTACATGCACTATGAATCGACCAACCGAATCATTTAATTGAATCTTCCACTCGAGCAAAAGATCGGAAAGTGATAGTCTGATTGAAATTTTTTTGTTTTAAAGTCATATAAAAAATTCTGAAAATATTATATTTTAATTGTGCGTAATTCGATATTTTTAAAAATGATCTCAAATTAAAAATAATGCGTGTATGAACAGTTTATCTCACAGAACAGCTGAGTTTGTCACTTTTAAAAAAGGCAAAGGTTAAATCGATACTCGAATGTGTCGAAATTTATTGTTGCCTCTTTTCCGCAATGCCGATTGGTTTCCTCGCTGCGCTTATTCAGCAATTGTCATCGAATACTTTGATAATGTGTGCACAGATTTCTATATTTACATTAATACCTAGTAATTCACGGTAAAATGTGCTGGTAGCCATACCTACATAGGGTGTTTAAAAACATATTGTAAAAAATGATATGCCGTGTGCAATAAAATATGTATTTAATTTAAATAAATAAAAAATAATATATTATCGATTTTAAACAGAAGTATTGAAAAATACCTATGATGCTTTGCGTGTTGATAATTGTTACATACAATTTTATGTTTTGTACATAGATTCTTATCCCACACTAAATATGACTTCATTATATAAAGAGTGCTGTAATATATAGAAGTCTGTGGTTGTGTGTGTCAAAAAAGTAATTATTATTACATATTTGTAATAATAATAATGTAATATTAATCGTACGTATTTAAGCAAGCATTTAATTAAGTATAATAGAAAGTACGAGGGGGTAACCACTAGCTGAAATATTGTCCCACAGATTACATGATTTCATATGATTTCATCTGATTACAAATAATTTTTTCCACTACATGTGAAGTAATTTGGTAAAATATACGATTTTATTTAATATTATACAATGGTTTTATATGTAATTATCGGATTATGCACAGAGATTTCATATAAATTTTATAATGATTTCGAGGACTTTGTCCCACGATTGTATTAAGTGGTTACCCCCTCGAGAAAGTAAAATATGAAAAGTTAAAAATAGCGTCTCGAGCGCTTTTTACTATACTTGCCTAAATCCTTGCTTAAATGCATACAATTAATATTGGCTGCGTTCCGTTGCACGCATAATGCGCATGAGATATTATTTTATTCTTGTTGTTCGCAGAGTGTTAAACAAAAATAAATGATACATCATGCGCGTCATGTATGCAACAGAATGCAGCAATTACATAGACATTACTGATGTCTAGTTATATAAAATTACCATTATGTAAGTGATTTGATATATAAACCATTTATTAACTATACTTGTGCAACATCTCTACGATGGTAGCATTATTCTTAATGTCATTCCCTTATGTTACTCAGTTTTGCTTTAAATTAAGCTTTAAATTAAGCAAACTCCTAATTAACATTTATAATTTTTTTTAATTAATATTTCTAAATTTTGATAACTAATGACAAAAATAATTTATCTCTTCTTGATATCTCTATTTCGGAACGATATGAAAGAATCTAATTAAAACTGATAACGGTGAATTTTTTAACGCGGGAAAAGAATTAAATACGCGCATTATGCATTAGTCGTATATGGAGCGGAAGAATCGTACAGAAATACGCGTACACTATTCCGATTAGTTATAAATAGTTCTTCTCGATGGTAACTGTTACTTGTGATCGAACTATTTTCTTCTATGTATAATGAAAAATTGTAAAAAATTGATTAAACTATTTTATTAATAGTCTCTCACTGAACAAGAAATTTGAATATTGAAATTTAAACCACCGTCATGAAGTTTATTGAACTTTTTATTATATTTTTGTAGTTCCTTTAATGTATTAAATAATAAAAAATAAATTACATTTTAATTAATTCATTTCAAAATGTTGCGGTTTTTTGTACAGACATTTATATTTTAATAATACTTTGTTAATAAATTATTGAACAATAAACTGTAACTATCATAGATTATAAATAACATAAATATAATTTTGCAATGTTGTAATTAATGAAACAGTTTGCGAAATATTGTTATAATAATCAGACAGTCATTTTCTCATCCTAGTCAGAAAAAAATGCAAGTGCTTCAATTTCTTTTTTACATAACGATTTGATTAAAGTCATTCCTGAGTGCAACTTCATTTCCGATTGTCTAAAGTAGTCTAAAGCCGGCACGAGAATAGCACGAAACGCATGCAAAGATGCGCAGCTCCGATAGATCTATAAGATAAGACGATTCGTACTCCGCACATCTGTGCCGAATACAATAGCCTAGATATAGAGTAGATGTGTGCTAGGTGCTACGCAGGTATAAAAGCATGATTCGGGCACGTCGAAGCTGTCAGTACGCTTGTAACAATTAGACAAACAATTCTCTTACGTAATCCATTTAATATAAACCCTCTCATTACAATTAATCTATCAAATAATATTTTTGATATACTGGTACATACAGAAATTAATTTTTGTATTGTATATTTAAAAATCTCAGAAATCTAAATCTCTTTAATTGTATATTAATTAATCTCTTTGAAGAACTTTGCCATTCAAATAGCTTTAAGAGGTTTAATAATTAATTGATAAAAAAAGATAAAAAGTGAAAGTCTCCCTATTTAAAGAAATTAATTCAAATATATAATATAATTGTTGAAAATTATAAACATATGAGAAGAATATTGGACACAGAAATATTTAATTCGATAGGAAATTATATTCAAAATAAACTAGTTATTTTGAATGTAATTTCCCATCGAGTTACAAACTATTTTTTTATTGAAAGTTTTTAATGGTGATCAACAAGCAGACATATGAAATGGGTAGATGCAATAATTTAATTGACGAAATTGTTATGTTTTCTTTTTAAATCACCCTGTGTAGGGTGCTCGCGCGGTGTGCTAAGTTGAGTCAGCTCGGGGGTGTTAGTTAAGGTTATTATTTCTCGCCGCACGTCTGACGGCAGTCTGTCAGTTATCGCAAGTCAATGAAAGTACAAACAGCATTGTTACCCTCACAGACATTCGCGGTACTCGATGTGATTAGTATAAATATTTGGAGTATACATATACAAATGTATTAAACGTATGAACGAGTGTCTAATGTAATGAATGAACGCAATTTTAATTTATATAATACTAAAGCTATTCTAAAGAATGTGTTTATAAAATACACGCACATAAATTAACATGCATTATAAATTAATAAATTTTAATCTAATACGCGTAAAATAAAAATAAGAATAAATTAAGTAAATGTAATGAATATTTTTTTAATTAAAAAATATTTTATAGTGAAGAGATATAATATTTTGTAAATAATTATACAAATTAATCATATAGAAGATCAATATTCTTAATGCAAGAATATTGATTTCAAAATAAAACAAAGTAATTAATGTTCGTTACAAAATAATAAATTTGCGAAATAGCTTTAGCTGTTCTGCCAACTAATATGTGCATTAAAATTACTGACATCTTAAAGATTACCAAATACATAGAACTTCACGTATTTCAACTTTTAAACATGAACGTTAAAGCCTAGCATTGATTGCCAGACAACCACTAGAAGAAACTGTAGATAAGGCACGTTATTTTTCCTGCATTCCGTCTTCAGCGGGCAAAATGAGAAAACGCAAAAGCATCGCGGCGAGTGAATTGACGCATTTTTGCGGAAGCCTTGTCGATTAAGGAATGACCGTTGAATGGAAACGAATGGAATTTTTTTACAAATCAAGTTGCATCAGTGAATCATAAATCTGACGCATGAAACGGAAGAAGTATACTTTTCAAAACGAAGAAACATGTCAATGAACGAGCTCAACATGTAATTATTGACATAAGAAAATAATCGCGATGGTGTCCACTAGCGATCTGTCTGCAAACAATTATTAGTGACTTAAAATTAGTGATTTAAACTATGATTCGCGACATGCGCCTATAAATTTAAATCTTGAATAAAAATACAAAAAGTAAACTTCGGAAATGGCTGAACTCGATTTGACGGAAGTGAAGGAGGCCACTGTGGCAAATGCAACATCCACCTGCGATAAGCGACATTGTAAGGAGATGCGGAAGGATAAACTACCCCCATATCTTCGAGACAGAGGTACGAAGTCTCTGAATATAGGGAATAATTCTCAGAGGGAATAACATTTAAGTCACAAAGACATAGTTTTTTATTTATTGTTATTATGATTTATTGTTATTATGATTGCTTCAATTTTATAATATGTAATCCACAATTATATTCTAAATTGGTTATTTATAAGTACATCTAATTATATTTTATTTTATAAAATTAGTATTTAAAAAATTGTTTTAAAAAACTAAGTTTTCCTACTTTAAATTATAAAAGTTAGATTGCAACAGTTATATTTTTAATATCTAATAAATATATATTGTAATCAAATTCTTTATATAGGTGCAGAAGAATTTAAGTTTTAAAATAATCTTCCAATAGTAAATTAATATTTTACGCTGAATGAAACTGAATCAATCGATTTTAGCAACTTTCTCTTATTACGATAACCCTCATTTGTGCAAACCAATCACTGCAATCACGAATTTAAATTTAATAAATTATGAAACGGAGAGCAGCGTTAATCGACATATTACTCGTGCATTATTCATACATTAAATGTTTTAATAAGTATTATCCATGTTAAGTGAGTAAATATAGATACCTTTTCATATCCGATGATTTATTTTCTTTATCTTCAAACACACTAAGGCTAAAAATCACATCATTATTTCTATACTTCTATATAAAATTACAATTTTATAGAATCCGACCGAAACAGTCTTTTTTAATTTTGACCGAAACTTAAAACAAATATTCAATTATATTTTTCGGTTGAAACCGAAACCGAAAACCGAAACCGAAAATTTTTATGGAAATCCTAGAAAGGCCATATGCATAGTTGCACGCATATATATATATATAACCATATACTTCTTTTTCATAAATATTATAATTTAATTAATAGAACAATAATTATAATATTATTATAAGTTTTCGGTCAGAACTCTACAAGTTTACTCGTAAACAAGACGCAAAATGGTTTACTTAAGGTTTCAATTATCTTTAATTTTATATAAAATAATATTTATATTATATACTCTTTTCGTTTCTTCATATTGCTATAAATATTACATATTAAAAATAAAAATAAATATTACATATTAAAATTCTATAAAGATCATCATACAAACAATGCATTGCTTTAATGTTATGAAAAAATTAGTAAGTATACAAATATTAATTATAAATCTATAATATATTATTAATAAGTATATAGATATTAAATATAAATCTTATTATGCTTTACAATAACTTCATAAGAAAATCTTTCTGCAGTTGCTGTTACAAGCAATAAAAATTCTATCAATTCTAGAAGAACATTTATTATAAAAAATAGCTCAGCTGAATAAATGTATAAAAATTCTCATTAACATTAGTTTTTATTATTATTTACTTATCCTAAAAGCTTTCATTTGAATATAACATGGATGTTTGTTATAACTCTACCTTTAACGCGAGCTCATTTGCCTCGTTAAGAAAATAGAACACGGGGTGCAAGGATGCAACTAGGTATAATTCTATGGAACATACAAAAGCGTGTATATACACTGCAGGAATATAAACGGTCGAATAGATCGATAAATACACCTTCTCGAGAGGCGCCTCGCAAATGTAAATTAGCGTGATATATCGGTGTGTGCAATCACCAAATGCAGATGGCCGTTCCGGCGCGAATTCGTAATCCGATATCTTGATTGCACGCGAACACGCGATTGCTTCCAAACTATGAGATAGTCGAAAAGCCGTGTCGAATGATATATATGTTTTCGTCAAATCTGAAATGGCTGATTATGGCAGCTTCCGTTGCCTCACGATTTCAATATTCAGTCGGACTATGCTTTTATGACGTCTACTTATAAAATCAAGAAGATAAAATCGGAACATTTTTTGCAGCACGCATATGTTTGCACGCGAAGAATTTTTATTTTATTAATGCTATTTGAAAAGATAAAAAATTCCAAAATTCCCTCCTTTTGAAATAATATGATAATAATTTTTGATCTAACAATTTGTAATGGTATAAATTTTAATCAGACAAAATTTTAAAAAATGTAATTTTACTTGATTAAATAACAAGGATCTCAAAAGGAGTTAAAAATATAGAAGAAAAATTGAAATCTAAAGCAAAATAAAAATTTAAATTATTAAAAGAGAATTTTTTTTAATGTGAAAAATATGGAATAACTCATATAATTTATTTTTCTGGCATCTACACCACATTTAAATTCTTCAAATAAAAAAAATTTGTAAAATTATTTTTATAATTATTTTAATCTAATAGTGAATATCTCAATACATTTTTGTTTTCTCTTTTAGATATTACCTTTTCCTTAATTACATATACGAATATCAAAATACCAATTACGCCTTTGTGTAGCTACTGCTGGAAGCTCTACCTTAAAGCACCTTATTTTAAAGTACCTTACCTTAAATACAATGTATGCAACTAATTTGATTGAAAGCCTCGTACGAGTGGCATTCCCACATATTCCTTTATTAGTTCTCTGTCAGGTTCCGTCAAGGTTCCGCTATAACAATCGATCAGCTCATCTAAACTATTCCGAGAAAACAAGAACCGTACTCCTCAAACTTCTATCTTACCCCTCTGTGTGCTTTCCGCCATTATATCCGACGTACACGCGAGAAGTCTAAAGACTCAAGTGTACACATCGCGTATATGTGTAAACAGTGTTAAACTTCATCGTCTCCTAAAACACTCGTTAACCAAAACACGGGAAATACAGAAACTTATGTTAGATAACTTCACCCATTGTTACATCTAGCACTATTATACGTACATGCAACGGCGTAACTAATCTTTTAATTATCTCTCATTCACCCAATAGTAAAACTTTAAATAATCCTTTACTCTTTGCTAATCTTGATTTTATCCTTCATCTCTATAAACTTCATTATAACTTTAATATTTTAACATGCATACTTAAAAAGATAAAATATAATCACAAACATAGTATATATTTTTTTTATATCTATGAATATGACAAATAAATGTAATAAACTCGATTCAGTGATACAGAAAATTCTATAAATTTTTTTCCTTTTATGATCTTTCTTTTTTACTCTCTGCTTCTTCTTTTTCTTATTTCTTTTTTCTTTTTATTCTTCTTTTTATTTATTATTTGGTTTATTTTTTTCTCATATATTTCTTCCTTTTTTTTCTCTTCGATTTTCTTTTCTTTTATCTTTTCTATCTATATTCTATGTTCTTTTACTTTTTCTTTCTTTTTTATATTACCTCTCTTTTCGTATCTCTTTTTTCTTGATGATAAATCTTTAAATAATTTACTCCAATGGCCACACTCACCTGCACTCAAATTCCAGCTCGAAGTGCGACGTGGCAAATAGACATTAGTAGGGCATGTCTATCGTTTCCAACTAGCGTGTCTCTTTTTGAACGTTCAAATTGACACCTTCCGTGCGCGATTAGTCTGAACGCTTCGGCGCGACGTATTTCGCGAGATGCCTGCACGCATAAGCGCCGCATATCAGATCCTATATAAAGGAACGTACGGATTCCAGCACGATTTCAATTGATATCCAATATTCTGCCGGCGTGGTACCATTGGGGGACAACTGCGGAATCACCTGAGAAACTCATCAGCGAACTCATTTCTTACACTTCAATACTCGTGCCGCGTATATTGAGAAAAATAGAAAAGTAGCATTGTTGAACAATAAAATATTTTTTCGTAGACGTAATATAATATTATAAAATAAGCACTACTGATACTTTCAATACTCTTAATATCGTAGCATTAATATTTCAAAAATGTTGCTATCAACTCGAGCAGCCCGATATGCTGCTCTTATGGCCGAACCCGACGAGCTCTATCCAGGTGTAAATAGGCGTTTAGTTGTGCACACTACTTTATTTTATAACATTAATATTTTTTGGATTTTGATGTTTCAGAAAGGATACTCTATCCACGTAATACAAGAGCCCTACCAAAAACACCCGTAATTGGTGGACAACCCATCGAAGAAGAAACATGCATGGTAATTTTGTAGTATATAATTTGTAGTATATAATTTTTATTATAAATACAATAAAAAAGTTTACAAACTTACGTATTGTTGAAAATATCCGTTTAATTTCTAAAAATTAATCGTTGTATTAATAATTTCTTGCTACTGTAGGCTTTAAGGAAGGTGGTCTTTGGATCTTGCGCGAGTCCACCTAAAGTCGAATGGGCAAGGACCGGGCTAACTTTACGACCATATGGACAAAGTTTAGCATTTGGATTGAGAACGCCCAGAAACACAACAAGAGGCCTTGTCACCGCAGTGCAAGCTGTCATGCTGAAGCATTTTTTGTTCAAGTGCGACAGGCAAGATGTAGGTCCCGAAATGTAAGTGCCTTTATATAAATAGCACATATTATTTTATTGCTGTGTACGCAGATAAAATCTTTATAAAGAATGTGGCAATAAATATTAAGTGAACAAATTAACAGTAAGTAACAAATAATATGAATATTAAATAATTATTAGCAAATATTGTATAAGTTATTATTACAAATATATTTATGATTATAAAAATTTTAATACCTTGTAATAATCAATATATATAATGATTATTGATATTATTAAAATGTATTTTATTTTATTAATATCTATAATTTTATATTAAATTTGACTATTAAGTAATTTTTTAAATATATTCTAAATATGTTTATAAATTTAGCCAAATTACAAAGAAAAATTTGAATATCTTTGAATAACTTTGAATAACACATTAATAAAAAACGAGAATTAAAATATTATTAGGCAAGTGTAATTGTATATATATAAAATCGTAACTTTATTAAAAAGAAATTTTCTTTTAATTGCAGTTTGCTAAAACCTTCATACGATCGACAGATTGAAGTGTTGACTTCTGCAATATCAGAGATTATCTGGCGTTGTGCAGGTGGTTTCTCTGTGTCTACGTGTCCAAATGTTGTCAGCAACATCGTGCCAAGAGCCATAGTAGCTCTGCCACAGGATACACCATATCTTCAACACAGTGTACAGTATTTTCAAGATGGATTAACAGAAACGGTATGTTTCTGTTTTTTGTAATCTTCCACATTCATTAGTTAAAATAGTTAAATAGATATATAAAAAAATCGCTTATTAGTAATTTTAGTTTTAATATTTTTCTTATTGTTTAATTATAAACAATATATTTCTTGTGTTAAATGAATGACATGAGATTAACATTCTCGTTCAGTAAAGCAATTTAGTTATGCACTAACGCATCCACTCCATTTCTATCACATTAACGAGTAGCGCGCAGTGAAATCTAAACTTTCTCGTTTAATTAATTTACGACGGAACAGAATATGTCTCAAATTATAGCGTTGGTATTTTGTCAAGCGTGTTAGAGAATAATCTCAAGATTACGTGATATATCTTCGTATGTATAGTTGACACTCCCTTTTCTATGATATTATCAGATTCAAGTTCATTCCTTGTGAAAGGTTGCTTTGTATTCTAGTTGCATCTTTTCGAGTTCAATTCCTTGGAGGACCTTGAGATCTTTATTAAGAGGTACTTGTACTTGGTGAGTACTTACACAAGGAAGCTAAAGTACTTGATAAATTGAATATCAGACATTACACACATGCTATCAGGCATGTAAATTAAGGACTCATATATACATATGTACTCGTATGTTTGATAGTTTCTGTACCAAACTTAAATCTTAGTTGCACTTTATCACATCATTAAAAAATTAATTTTTTCTCTACAACGTTGATAAAATATAAAATTATTTTATTTAGAATTAATTAAAGTTTTATCATAATCTTTATTTTCACAACTTCAGTTTCACGACGAAGGCGGACCTGGCGCGAAGCTACTTTTGTATAGCGCGGTGCTTTCGAGAGGCCTCTCAAAGTAAGATATTTTCTTCTACATTTTTTCTCAATTTATTTGAAGTTGAAAATGATAATGGGTTGCTTCAATTAGACACAAGTCAAGTATTAATTAAATACAAGTTATTTTGATTAATATATTTAAATGCATATTTCAGAATTCGAAACGATTTAGAAGATCCAAAGGCATCCATCCTCGGTGGGTGTTCGGAAGAAGGTCCGATCAGTATTATCATCTTCGTTTTAACTGGACGTGCTTCACCACATCTTCATAATGGAGTGCTTCACGTTGGTGATGAAAATACATATGTAAGTCTGTAATAATTTACTTCTTTGACATTTTGCAAATTTACATATTTATAATAATGTTTTATTGTAATATATATAATGTACTACAAAAATATACTTGACGGTCTCCTGATAAAATATACTACAACGTCTCCCGATATTGTAACTTTCATGAAATGTATCGAAATTGACATGAAATTTTTATACGTATTATAGATGATTTGCAAAAAATTTATTAATACACTGAGAAAAAAAATTTGTTCAACTAACTAAACACATTTAGTTGTTTGCAGATTTGGTTAATTCAACAAATTTTATTTAATTGAATTTAACCTTAGTCTGCTTAACAAGCTGTTCAATGTTAAACAGACTACAGTTAAATTCGATTAAATAAAATTTGTTGAATTAACCAAATCTGCAAACAACTAAATGTATTCAGTTAGTTGAACAAATTTTTTTCTCAGTGTATGCATCGAAAATAAATCGTGTCTTTCAATATACTTTAAATTAATTGAATTTTAAAAAGACGATTTTTTATTCAATGTTAATTTATTGTAATTAATTCAAAGGCTGTACCGCAATGGGGTGTCCTTATGAGAAGCGAAGCGGGATTTTTAGTGCACGAAAGTGATAGCAATATAAGCAAACAGCCGGGTTCTCGATTGAAGACACCCAGTCTACCGATATGGGTAACTCTTTGTCTCGGTCATCACGGCGTGCTCTTCAACACCAATCGAGAATTGCTGAGAAATTATCACGCGGAACGACGGTATATATTATATAATTTAATTACTCGGTTTTTAATAATTTTATTTATTTTTATTTTAATGATAATTGATTAATTTGTCGGTGCAATCATCACTGTACTAATTATATTTTGTTTCTAACAAGATAATAATTGTTAAATATATATAATAATTATTTTTTTATATTTTATTACAAATCTATGTGATAGATTCTATGTGTGATAGTCTCTACATAAATATAGATAATTAGATATGCAATTTATGAATGAAAAAGGAAGCAGTCATATAGATTATTAAAGAAAATATATGTGAACGTAATTCAGAATTTATTTTTAACATTTAAACACAAATACATAAACAGCATCCGATTTTTTCTTGGATAGTCACAAAGAAATATCACTCATTTCGTATATGTTAAAAGATTCAAGGTTCAATATTTCACTTGCGGTGGCAGTCACGCTACGTTGACGGTGGATACCAGAGCAAACGAAGCTTCCGGGGGATCAGATGCTGCAACAATGGAAACCGCGGACATCGCCGCGACACCGTTAGAGAAACTTATTCGATCCAAGTTAGTATTATTTAATAAATAATATAATAGTATAAAACATAAAATTTATTTAAGTACTTTTCTCAGTTTTACGAGAATTTTATATTTAATTAATTCTACGTATAAAAACATATACCCTACACTTTAATGAATATGATTTTAGGCTATACTGAATATACATATACATATTTCATACTTGATACAACAGTTTAATTTGAAAAGTTATTTACTTCTATCATTAATTTTTTAAAAGCTTTTTAGTGCGAGAATAAGATCTATGATTGCTATTGTTTTCTCAATTACAAAATGCGATATCTCCGAGATCACTTGAGCGTTCCTTGTAAACAGTGTAGAATTCAAGGTATCACCTCTTCCACTTATTGTTCCACGCTGCACCAAAGGTGGCAGGATGCTCTCATACAATGGAATGGAACACCGGTGATGTGAGGGATACGAAAGTCTCTTCCGTGTTAAGCCGTATATCCGTGATTCCGCGTGATGCTAATCGATCACTATGCACGCTAATCTTAAAGGCTTTTAATTGTTGTTAATGATATAAATCCATAGAAATACGTACATAGAAATTAGGTGGTACATGTATGTGTCGTAATGTCAGACGTTTCATAATTTTAAATGTGTGATAAAATTCTTCCGGCGCTTTCTTAGACAATATAGCAGGCATTTGTACGATGGCCAAAAAGCTTTATTATTTTGTGAAATATTTTAATAAATGGCTGTGTTAATGTATCATTATCTTATATAAACGGTGTATTGAAAAAAAAGATACATTCTGTAATTGTTACGTTTAATATTATACTTGTCTACAATAAATACCTTGCTTCTTTTAGGAAATTACAGCGTTTTTATTTTAAAGAAGAATATCTTTTTTTTCTATTTCTCATTAAAATATATATATATAACCGTGCACACATGTAAATAAATACAAAAATTAAAATGACTTAAATTCATTACTAAATTATTTTAGAAAAAGCGAATACTCAGATATACCGTTTAGTCAAGGATGAACAAACTCTCTTCGAAGCTATCACGCGATCGCGTGGGAAATAATATGTCTTCTTTGACTCATGTGCATACAATATCGCGTTGTGTTCATATATCATCTGGAAGACTTATAAAAACAGATTTTAATTTATCAATAATATTAACAATTTCGGTCCAAATATTTTTTTTAAATATATCAAGATTTTTAACGCACAGTAAGTATATTATGTTAATATTTTAGTAAAGAATATTAACACGCGGGAAATATTTAAAAAAATTATTTTAATCAAAAAAATGTAACGAAGAGGATATATATATATATATCATTATTTTTTTCAAGAATAGATATTAATAAAGTCTCCAAGGGTAATAGAGACTTTTTTTAACAATCAAATAGCATGACTGTTTTATAAAATCTAATAAAAAGTGATCATAAATCTCCATTTGTGCTATAATGGCCGGGCATTTGAGAACGTTTATAATAATTGAGCACTTTCAAAAAAGCCTAATAAATTGCATGTCTCGATTGTGTCGGTCAATGAACACACCGTTAGCGAGTTATTCTGCGTAAATCACGAACAATAGCAGAAACTGGTTCAAAGTGGAAAGAACTTAAGACAAGCTGATGTTTATTAACTGCAAGAACCGTGCATAATAAAAGTTATCTTTCCCATGGGGGGTACGGAGAGAGACGAAGATATACGCCCGCAATTTCACAGACCGATGATCCGCGAGGACATCGTCGCGATGCCATAAGCGAGTCGCGGGTCTCGTTCCACTTGTCCTCAACCACTTCTCACGACATTAAATCTCACGAGCTTCCAAGGGGAACGAGACGCTATGCGCATTGCCGAAAAAAATTGCGCGCTTACGCAATTATTATCATTTTTTCATTATGTGATTCGTTACTCGTTATATTACAGTTCGCTGTAGGTACTCGTATAATCTTATACATTGTCATATTCGTTATGTGATTAAAGTTAAGGAGATAAGAAGAGAGACGTTAATATGAAAACTGTTAGGTCAGGGAACTCCAATTTGAATTATTCATAAAGTACCGCTAGCTTTTATTAGACGTAGCTGCTATTAATTCATATTTTTAAGATGAAATTATCAAAATTATTATTATCATGCTGCTAAAATATGAAGTTATTTTTTATCTATCTGTTTCTACAAATATCCGCTCTCTCTTCCCCCAATATACAAAATACAAGCTAATTTTTAATTATTACTACATTCTTTTATTTTTACTCATTTAGTTGTATTTCTTATAGCTTTGTACCTCTTTGTTTCTAAAGTTTTCTCCTGGGGGACTCGAAGGCCGGAAATCCTCACACACACACGTCTTCGGTAAGGTCACCGCAAGTCCCCAAAGGGCCTCAAAGATAGGGGTCAGTTATGTGCATACTTACTCAAACACACGCATATGCGTCGCGTCCATTATTCCCCCATCGTATATGAAAGCAAACACCTGTTCGCGGTACGGTTCAGGTACGTTTCTGTTGGTCGCCGTGGTCCCCCCTTCCTGACAATAGGGAGCCAGCCGAGTGCCACTCCAGCCGCTTTGCACGACGGCTCCGTTTTGTAGTAAAGAGTTCTACAGCCCTACAGCACGGTAGTCGTAGCCGAGTTTGATCCACATCGATCATGATAGTGCACGGAGTGTGAAGTGCGACGTACAGTGTATACTAAAACTAGATCAGAAAGATGAAACGCCAAAAATAAATGACACAAAATAAAATATTTAAGATAACAGTGAAATAAAAATTTAAAAAGAAAAAAGGATTTGGAGAATAAAAGAGACTTTGAATAAATAATAATCTTTTAAAAATCGAATCAATTCATTATATGTGAACATTAAAGTAAAGAGTTTAAGTAAAATGTGAATTTTATTTGAAGATATGACAAAATTGGTAATTTTTTATTAAACAAATTTAATTGAGTAAAAGTTGATTCATATATTTGCAGTAAAATTCGACAATTCATGCTTATGTTCGTTATGCGTATGAAAAGACGTGGATTATAAGACCGTCTAGCTACGTCGATCAATAAGGACTACTAAGGGTGTAATTCGTAGTCCTATGTACTTTTTATTGTAAAGGGCGGTGGCTAAGTGAATAGTGGATCAAGAGATTAACATTTTACGAGATTTATGTTATCAATAAACAATTAGTGCTGTGAGAGAGATCTCTTATCTTAGCAAACAATGGAGAACATAAATACATGAACTTGCGAGTCTTTTTCGAGTATATTTTGTGGTAAGTATCTGTTATGTACATATCAATCTCAGATTTTATTTTCAAAATACATTACTTATTGTATGTACTTAATAAAACTCGCACTGTAGAGTAATTAAAAGTAATTTATAATAGTTAATCAAATAAAATGTAATTTGTTATAATAATAAATTAAAATTACTAAGTATATATAGACAATAATTATTGTTAATAAAAAATAAAAATTAATAAAAGTTAATACTTATGTTATAAAAAATTAACCATGACTTATATTAATATTAATAGAAATACATTTTTAGAATAAAACATCAAATTTTTATATCAAACTCTTTTATTACTATTCGAATGGAAGCCATTCTATTTTTTTTTTAATTTAATGATTATATACTTAACAAATGTGAAAATAATAAAAAGCATACATATGCTTTTATAAAAGTAAGAAATCTTATATAACTTTTGCTTTCATATTTATTGCACTCTTTAATGTAACAAAAGGTATCATATGTAACACAATTGAGCACAATTGTGATACATTAACATTTAAATATTATTTTTAAGTTAAATATATATTAAATATTATTAAATAAAGTACATTCATCGCACACGTATAATTGCTAATTTTGTAATAATAAAGTAATTATAATCATAAACTTTGATAAAATAAAGTAATCAACACGAAGTTTTAGATCACTCGAACTGTCAATTTCCCAATACGGATACCCATAATATTTTTATACAGTTAGCCTTTACGCCGGTTGCCCATCGTGTTGCGTTTCAATTTACGGTTCGTGAATTTAAGCAGTACTGCGCCCCATATAACCGAAGTATCCGGCTATTTTCCGTATAAATTTCTTGTTTGCAGGCATTTTCAGAGTAACTTTTTTACACTTGTTTCAATATGCTAAATTTTTTGCATTTTTTAAATTATTTTTATCTCCGTTGTGTTACATTAAATCTTACAGAGTGCAATAGAATTAACAAACAATTACGTAGTATATTTTAAACAAGAATAAAAAGCAATTTAACAATAAAACATGTAAATTTACGAATAATAAATAAAAAATCAATAATAATAAATATTATTGTATGAATATAACTTTAGATTATTAAAGATATTCTATGAATGTGGATATAAATGTAAAAAAAAGAGAAAGATATGTACGAAAATATTACTTGTACAATATTTGATATTTTTATTATATTCAAAAATTTAAATATTATTTAAAACTGAACAGTTTTTCTCAAAATAAACTGTATTTATGCAGTAACATTTACAATGATATAATAAACAATTATTAAGTGGTGTATTGAAAATTAAATATTAAATTATATTTAAATATTATTTGGAATTGAAATATAGATGTAAAATATAAATAAACGGTAATTTATTTTTCTTATAAAATCAAATTATTAGATATAACATTATAAAACACTTTACGTCCTTTTACTTTCCAATATCTTTACTATGCTTTATTAATATAATATTCTATGATTATAGAATTAAAATTTGCATTTAAGTAATGAATATTTGCCTATTTACTATCAGTCCATTCAACCACCAAGTATCATGAATGGAAAAACGCAAAAACAAACTTTCTCGCACTAACAAGCTTGAAAATATTTTCCATTCTTGCCACTCAATTATAAAGAGAAACATAATGTGTTAAAACTTTAGTATTCCAAATGCTCGAAATGGTCATCAACTTCCCGACATAACGTCACGAAAGAAATGCGCTATTTGTACGGAAGGGGAAAGTGCAAGGTGTTAAGATCTGCCTCCGGCGATAATTCGCCCGAGTCATCCTAGCCCTGATGAGACGCGCAGTCCTACATAGCCATAGTTCCACGTAATAAAAGAGTTTCTCTGCATGCTTTCTAACCACGCGTTATGCTCGCTATTGCAAACGCGTTTCGTCGACGAAGTGGTCATTCGCCTAGTACTTATGTTCTTACATTCGTCTGCTAACACGATGACAAACTCGATTGCATGTTAACAGCAAAGTTGTTATGTTTTATGGTATGTTCTTACGTCATTTTGTCGAGAACTAAAATGTCAGTGGAACATGTCACACAATTCTTCTGTTAGAGCAATATTTATAAAATATGTTATTTTTTTAAAGAATATTGTGATATAATATCTGCCCATCAATAACATCAAGAAATCCAAAAAGTATCTATGAATCCTATATTCTGTGTAATATGTATTTTCAATTTTACGAATTTTACTTCGGTCAAAGTTGCACGTATGACTATAATTATTTTTCAATTCTGTATTATTTTCTTACAAAACTTAATATTTTCCCCCAAAATTTTAAATTAACTTTTAATCATTAAGTTTAAACTTAAACTTAATGATTTTTTTTATTTGTGTACCTTTGCTTAATTACAGTAGAATATATTTGTTTAATATCAAGAACAGAAAAATCTATATTATTACAAATATACATAAAATAAAAGAAACTAAAATAGAAAATAAAATAAAAAATGTGGACATAGTAGTCTTATTACAACTTATGTAATATTCTTATACTTTCCCGTTATTGTGTCATATATAATTTACTGTTGCATCATTAAGAGAAAATTAGATAATATAAATTCAATTATACAGATTGATAAATAAATTTATTAAAAATTATTTAATTACTTAATAAATTATTGCAATTTAATTGAGTTACAGAATTGTATTATTAATCAAATTTATATTTTATATATTTCTATAATTAAAAATTATTATAAAACTTTACGAAAGTTATATATATCTAACACAAAATCTTCTCGCGAGATGAAATCCTCCTTGACGTAAAGTAATAAAATCTTCGTAATGATTCCGAGAAGCTGGGTATGTAAGACATTTCGAGCGCAGGAAACGTTATTTCCGCAAATATGATAAATCGAAATATCTTCTGGGAAATTTTGTTCCCATGGATCTTGAGATGTGAGAGTTGATCCGTGGGAAATTAAAGGGAACTCAGTTGACGCGCTACATTGCTCAACATCCCTTATCCTTTATCCCTTTCCACCATTGATTTTCTGTTTTTCTTGCAGATGCATCTGTCGACGGAATCGGTGGACGATGATCTTGAATTGCCATGGGACGAAACGTATTGAGGATCTTGTTGCTCCTCTGCTGCATGCTGCAACCGCATGTCGGACGTAAGTCTTCCTGCATCAAACCACTCTTCCTTTTCGTTATGTTCCTATAAAGACTCTTCTAAGGAAAAGCTTTAAAAAATCTTTTAAGGGAATATTTTATTAAATCCATAAACTTTCATCTTTTTCATCAAATATGTAATATAGTTTCCGAGATAAAAATATTTTATTATGAATAAATAGAATAGAATTTTGAACAGATAAAATTAAAAAGTAATTGTAGGTCAATAACTCGTTATTCCTCTTTTTCTATATCTTTTCTTAGAACGCCAATGCAATAATTGGATAAATGAATGAATTAGCATAAAAAATCGAGACATATTTATAACTTCTAAATTTTTTTCAAGTATTATCAAGCAGCTATTTAAAAGCAGATTTACATTATGTCAATTATTTTATTTTCCCCTTTATTTTATTTTTACATTCGCTTTTTCGCGCGAATTGCATAAAAAGCGCAATTTACATCTACATGATTCGACTTATAAAACTTGTATTAATCTTCGCGGATATTTTCGCGCACCATCGAACGTGTACTCGCTTTTGCTAGCAAGAGGTCCTCATCTATGCTAGAAAAGGAGTTTACGAAAGGCCAACGCCGTAACGCTGCGCCGACGATACGCCATGAATTCGCGACCGGAACTCCGCTCCAGGGAAGCGCGCATATCTACCCTCTCGCATACGCGTTAAACAGCCCACGCGTACTCGTCTACGCATCCGATTCGCATCCTTCCAACGTCCGAATTCCCGTCGATCAACTGGCAAGAATGAGTAGATGACGCGATGTCCATTCAAATCTTTGTTAAACAGATTAGTCGAAGTGTAATTATTTAATAGAATTACCTTCATCCTAATTGCAACACATCTCATTACCGTAATAATGACATGAAAGTGTCCAATTAAGCCCGTAATATAATGTTAACACGTAGCTACGTACGAAACCGCTATTTTGAAAATCTCTATGAAATTAATTTTGTTCTTTCTGATTTTATTTTATTTTTATTATTTGTTATTTGCTTATTATTGAAACAAAAAGAATAACGGTAAGCTCTTTGAATTAAAATGTTAAATTGTAATAAGTATATTGCTAAAACGACCATTTTGCTTATCAAGTGATTATGCGTAATTATAGCAATCAATATGCATAAAGCGAACTCGGGAATGGCCGGCAGTGGCTATGGCAGTCAAACGAGGCGCAAAAGCTATCGTGATTTATGCCAGCATTAGAACAGCTAAAGCACTGTTGTTAGATAAATGGCCTCGCCGCCCCTTCTATGCACTTTATGCATCGTAATTCATCCACCTATTATATATAAGAAAATAATAATATAGTATACACACTTATGATAATAATCTTTACCCCGTTAGATGTCACATATGTATAGCAAATCTTATATTCTCTACTTTATTATAACTTTTTTCTTTTACTTTATTAATTTATTAAATTTTCTAAAAATACATCATCATAATATATAAATATAATATTCTTTACTATCTAAAAATATTATCAAAAAAGATATAATAAAGAATTAGTTAACTAATTTACGTAAAACGTTTTAACGTACGATAATAAGTCAATAAGCAACTTTTGCTTTCAAAAATCAAGATGGCGTATAAAGTTATTCATCCACATAAAATATTTCTTGAAAAGCATTAGGAATATTTTTATATTTGCATATATTACAAATAAATTTTATTTGTAAATATTCTGTATATATTTTATATTTAAAAAAAAAAATATTTTATTCTTTTTAAATTAAAAAAGTGCTTTTGCTTTAGATAATTTTGCTATACTTCAGATTATAAAATTACGTTACTTACGGTAAACTTCAACGTGTTACGTTATAACGTTTCTGGAATCAGTGTACAAGATTATTTGAAGTCATTAGAACAGATCTAATTAATAACTCGACAATGAGTATTACAAAGTACTGAATACGACATAAACATTATCTAAGTCTTCGTGTTTAAAATAGTTATCTACTGTTACAAGCAATGAATAAAATAAAGAGCTTTCTTGCATGTCATTTGCGGTTAAAAACACAAAAGTGCATGCTTTCTTGCCATTAAGGATCTCATAAAACAGATATCGTTATACAGTAATGCCGGTAATGCGATACCTATTTTATAAGATAGTCTTAAAGAAGATAAAGTAAGGAGATCTTTTTCATAATTATTTTAAACAACAAAACATCTAGAAATATTTATTATTTTATATATATTATATATGTTCTCTTTTTTAAATTAATATTTTAATTTTTTAAAGAAATTATTTCGTTCTTCTCTTAAATAAAATTATAAAATTTTGAAACAATGCTGTTGAAAATTTTTTATTTTTGCGAATCTTTTCGAAACATTTATTATTTATTATTAAATTACTATAAAAAATAAATCATATAACTCTTGATGTATAAATATTTCCACCAATGAGTGCCTGTTCTTTGAATTTGTATTGCTCTTACATACCGTTACACTCGGACAGAGTTTTGTACTAACCAAAGATCATTGTCCCACGGTCCTTCCATCATCACGAAACTTTCGTGCAACCCATTGAAAACCGGTTGTACGATTTCAACCGGAAACTCCAATAACCTCAACGGCTCAACTATTGTAATTCAATAGCTACCACTTTTTCAAGGGATATGAATTTTTTCGTTCAAGTACACAGCACAAATATATTCAAACAAAAATACGTTCTAAAAAATATATATATCATTTTATTAATTTTTGTTATCTATTTTAAAGAAAAGATTTAACCCTTCGATACCACATACATACATATATATAAATTTTGCTACACATATTATATTAAAAAATGCATATATATAAAAAAAGATATATATATTTTCTTAAATAGACAATAAATTTTTTTTCAATCGAAACGTCAGATATTAAGAAATATAACAGTAATAAATAAATGTATTTTTATTATTAATAAAAAGTTATAGTATATAAAATAAAAGAAATAGTCGCGGATATGCTAGACTCATAGTGGCACCAAAGAGTTAAAAAAATATGTAGAAGCATAAGTGTTTGTATTGCATATTAATAAAATAAAACATGTTATTATTGTACATAATAAACGTAATGTCAAAGGAATGCTTCTTATGAAAAGTAGATTTAAAATTAGAATTTAAATATGCGCTCTTCTATCGATGACTCCGCATCCTTTTTCCTCGCTCTAGAAACCAATTTCTTTTCTGAAACGTTATTAAGCGTTTCTTTCAACAATTTAACAATAGACTATGCTTCATTACATGTTCATAATCGTTCGACTTTTTCAGTGACTCGAGACCACAGAGACACGCGATGCTTTCTGGAGAACGGAGCTACCGCGGCACACCTCTTTGTCAGAGAGGATCTGCCCGTCGGCGATACTGTGGGAATTCTCGGAGTGCTAGGTGATCCTAGCTCGCAAGGTGATATTGAGCTGAGCTTGCAGGAGCATGACAGCCCCGTCGCATTCTCGCCATACTCGAAGAATTTAACTCTCATCAGACCACTCGACAAAGAGGGTATCGAAGGACCAGCCAGTGTCTATATCAACGTTATCTGTGGAAAGAAACCTATCGCAGAATCGGTAGAATAATCTCTAAAAGCGATTACATTGCGTTAAATATTAAAATAATGAAACAAATATCTTTAAATGCGATATTCATTTTGCTTTCTCCAGATTTTATGAAAAATTTTAGATTTTGAGCTGAAAACATAATTGTAATTTTTATTTTTATTCCTAAATTTTACAATACAATTAGAAAATATAAATATTTTCTTAATATAGATACTGAGTTTATATATATTTAGTAGATTAATGAAATTAATTATATGTAAACAAGTTTAGTATTCTTATAATTTTTTAATTCTATCTAGAATATTTCTAAAATGTGTCTAGAATGTATATCTCTCTATTACATTCTGATTTTTTTATCATTTTTAAAAAATTGTGATTAATTTTTAAAGGAATTCATCATACCAGTGAATATTCGAGTAACCGACGCGAATGATAATACACCGCAATTCGTGAATGCGCCTTATGTGCTGAATATTTCTGAGGTGAGATAATCTTTGATATTTTTAATATCAAGTAATAAAAAATATCAATTTTTTTTTTCTTTGATTTTAACATAACATGAGTATTCCAGGTTACTGTCGTCGGCACGAGAGTTCTGCAAGGAGTTCGTGCTGTCGATGCTGATCAACCAGGACCATATTCTACTGTGCAGTACACAGTCCTACCAGGAGCTCACTCGGTGAATTTTGTGAACATATATTTATACGGCTAAATTATTTTTTCACTAATAATCCGCAATAATCTTTATTTGTCATATACATATCTATATTGTTAATTATTATTCTTGCAAATAACACTTTTATTCTTCAGAATATTATACAAAATATAAAATTTATTTAAAGTGTTAAATGAATAATTATTTTTTTACTCGTAGGATTACTTTATCTTCGTAAATGCTTTGGAAGGCACTCTTGTACTTAGAAAATCGCTAGATTACGAAACTCTTACCAACTTCTCCGTTGATATCCGTGCTCAAGTAAGTTCGATTTTACATTTCAGTTCAATATTTCAAAACATTTAATATTAAAAATTAACGAACGTGTCATAGACAGTTTTCAAATTCCATTATTATTCTACAAATCCGACATATTACATTACATAAAAATGAATATGTATCTAAAATTGTTGTTACGTAGAAGCTTTTTTTCTCAAATGGAAAAATGTGATTTAAATCGGGAACAGTTGAATTGACAAAATTTCTGAACATAAATAATTCTCTTTTTATGTAACACAATATACGAAATCCAATAAACCAACGAAGTTCAACATTATAAAAGTATCGTAAATAGATCATAACGGTCTTGAATAAATTGATTCGAATAAATTGATTTGAGTGATCAATGCGAATCGATACGCAACAGTGAACAAGTGAAGCTTACAAAGAATTCATCGAACAATGCTGTCTCTGACTATTTCTCACGCTTGTAATCATATTCTAACAATAGTACATTTTATTTCTCAATATAATTACATATTTCTCAATAGTAAATTTTAACTTTTAATAACAATTCAACAACAAAAAATCTCGTTACAGGATCAAGGTAATCCACCACGATTATCAACGACAACATTACATGTTAACGTTATTGATGCCGATGATCAGAATCCGGCTTTTTTGCACGATCAGTATAAGGTTACCGTACCTCGTCATATAAAAGAGGTAAGATTGACTTATTCTTTTAATAAAAACTTCAGTCAGACTCGATTCTACAATATACGCACACAATTCAAAATAAATATAAAATAAGAATTAATTTATTATTCTTTAGAAAAAGTCATTAAGGGTAGTACCTGCTGCGATAAAAGCTGTGGATCAAGATGTCGGCATAAATGCACCGGTTCGGTATACGATACAAGGTGGAATTTTACCCTTTTTGGATTTGAATCCTGAGACTGCTGAAATCGTCATGACACGCTCGCTACAGGACCACGAGTTAATGACGCCAGCAACTATTGTTATTAAGGTAGAAATATCATTTTGTTTTTAACAGATTTAAAATTTTTTAAATATGATAATAATATTGATTATAAAATATAGGCCACTCAAGTGAATAATGCAGATCGATATGCTCTTGCCACGGTTATTGTATCGCGAGAAGATATGGTTGGTCCAACAGCAGGTAAATAATATTATAGCACCGAGACATTGCCATGTCTCCTGATATGTGCAGATTTAACAAATATCTATATATCTATATATATTTATAAAAACTTAATTAATTAATAAATTAATTTTTGAAAATATGTATAATATTTTTCTTAATCGTTATCTTATTATAATTTTCATATACATATATATTTTTTCTAGTAATTTATTATTATTGATATCTAATATATATTTGGTTATTAATTAGATTTAATATTATTACACATTTACTAGACATTTATTATATGTATACAATTTGAATTAATTACTTATTAATTATTGTTATTCTGTCTATTAAAACAAATTGGCAACTGTTAATAATTGTGGTGAAAACCCATTAATAATATTCTTCATTGGTATCAAAATTTAATAGTACACACGTTTGTACGTAAATATGAAATATCAAAATGATGTTTAAAAGATGACGAATCAAATCGTCATCGATTTGGAAACAAATCGTATATAAAACTGATTATTTATTTTATGGATGCTAGGCGGTCGATTACCCGTGAAATTTGTGCTGAAAAATCACCAAACGAGCGTACCAGAGAACACGCCGTCTGGGAGCGTTCTTTTAACGGCAGGAGTCAATAAAGCTGATCCTGTAAGTAATGTGAAAATTTACTTCGACAATAAGAATGCAGATAAATCATGATATAGTAGCGTAGTATAGCTTCTGATCCTAGAATTTAAAATTCTGGCTGGTGGGCCCAGTGGAGGACTTAGAGAGGTTCTCGATTACTAACTCTGGCGAGTTAATTCTCAACGGGAATTTAGATTACGAACGGCGGTTTCAGCACAGCTTCTTGATTCATGTCACAGATGGATATCATGTACGTACAGCTCATTAATATTATAAAATTTAGTTAAATTACTTTGAGCGCGTTCCACTTAACGTTCGCAACGCTCGCGAGCATCATTTCATCCTTGTTTAATATTTTAAAACGATAAGGATGAAATGATGCTCACGAGCGTTGCAAATATTAAGTGGAATGCGCTTTTTATTGCTCATATATGTGTATAATATGAACGATTGAGTAAGTTAATGTTTTTTTTACCTGAATAAAGTTAAAGTTAATGACTTTACAAAATTAATAAAGTTAAGTTAAAAGTTGAAGGAATAAAAAATTAACTTAACGAAAGTTAAAAAAAAGTTAATTTCGAAAAAAATTATTTTTGAGGTCAAAATGTCCTAATTTTATTAAAAAATGAAATTAAATAACAACTACAATATAGATTATTAAGTAAAATAATTTTTTGTTTTTTTATTCACTTATGATATACATATAACTTTTTAGGTTTTTACTTTTTAATAAGCCTTAAGCCATAAGAAATGGACCAATTACAGTCAAATATTTGCCTTGCATTCGACTGTAATTGGTCAATTTCTTATGACTCAAGGCTTAAAACACTTATTGTAGATCCGGACTAAGTCTTATGGCATAAGGCATAAGTCAATCAGAGGGCTATATCAGCATCTTAAGAAATTACTTAAGATGGTCTTAAAATATGAACAGATTACGAGTATACGCCCTTAGTCTTATTATATTTTATTATTTTTCTGAGGCATTTAAAAGAGATAAAAAAAATTTTTAACTTAAAAAAAAATTAAAAAGTTAACGTTTAAAAGTGACTTAGTTAAGTTAAAATTTAATGCATTTAAAATTAACTAAGTTAAGTTAAAAGTTATTAACTTTTTAACTATTTTTTTAACTTTTAACGTTTTAACTAGTTACTACCCAACACTGATAATATGTATATAATACATATAAAATATATAAAATATAATGTGTTCAAATGTATAATATATATGTTGTAATATATTGTGATATACAATATATTAATATTTTTTTAGAACGATACATCTCATGTGAATGTTTCGGTCGAAGATGTGAATGAATGGGAACCTCGATTCCAATATTCCCGGTACGAATTTCATGCTCATTCCGCGAGAGAGGGTTCCGTCGTAGGTAGGTTCTTCTTATTTATTTAAATCGTGATTCAATTTCTGTTCTATTCGATGTTCAAAGAACACATAATTTTTCAGGAAAGTTAGAAGCAGCTGACGGCGACAGGGGAGACAAAGTTAACTTATCTCTCAGAGGACAAGATGCAAGGTATAAAATTGTTAAATTTAATAGTTTAGAAACAAAATTATATATTGAAAATATCATATACACACATAAAAAGTAAGACATACTTAATCTTAATTCCAAAAAAGAAACAAATTTTTTAAATTTAATTAAAATTACATATACATACTCTTGGTAAAATAATTATAATTATTTTTAATAATTATACGAATTACTTTTAGATCCTTCGAGATTAGAGATAACGGAGAATTAGTGCTGAGATCATTAGGTTTATTTAACGGATCTTTGGCACGATTTATAGCGGTAGCTACCGATTCCGGAAAACCGCCAAGGTATTTACAACTTTGTGTCTGATTACTTGTTTGCTATTAATGATAATTCCAGACGTTAATCTACAATTTGACGTTTGTCTGCAATTTCTTTAGATCCAGCATGATTCCGGTGATCGTTCATATACCTAACGCCGGTTCATTGCCGATCGCTGCGAGAGCCGCACCCGCTTGGCTCGGTAGCAGCGTGTTATTAGTTGCAATCTTCGGCGCAGTTTTGGGTCTTCTTGGAGTTGTCATACTTATTCTCATCCTTTACATTTATAAACAGTAAGTAAATGTGTCGAATACACGCAATGTATAGTTATATAAACGTTTGAATTATCAATCTGAAGCTCGGATCGAAATTCAGCTCGAGGTTCGGCTCGGTAATTTGAATAAAAATCATCTTAATAAAATCGAATAATATTAAAAGTGTAGCACGTAAACAGTACTTACAAACATAACAGTTACTGAATATTGTTATAAATATACTGTATTTTTTTTCTTTATATATTTTCAATCCTTTAGTCAAGAAATTTACAATAAAAACGTTAGAAACTTGAAGAAATTCTTATTAGATTAAGAGAGATTTTATTGACAGAAAGTTTGATGTTTTTATTTTTTTTTTAAGCAAAAGGCCAAAAAGTGGTGGTTCGGTCAGCTCTGTGGGTACTGGATATCGTGAGAAATCACCAGTTCCCTCAGCTTTAAGTCCCACTCCGCAAGTTCTAGGCGCTAATGTTCTTCAGGACGGCTTGGAAGTCCCACGGAATCGGCATCACGATATTGACGACGAGAATGATAACGTCGACAGCCGTAACGAAATCGATAATCCCGTCTTCGGAGAAACCAATGAAAGCTCGTACAGTACTACAATCAAAAGTACGTTTCTATAGGCAGCAAAAGTCAAGCAGTGCTGCACATGCTTTCTATTCTTCATGCTCGGCATAATTTAACTCGACATACTTTACTTTGATTCTTTAACTTCACATATCTCTCTTTTTATGTATCTATTAACTGATTGCCAAAAATTTCTCGATACAATATTATTTTTCTTCTTTCCTAAGCAATTTGCAATTACAAAACTTTCATAAAATTACAATTCTATTGTCAAAGATTTATGACATTAAAATATTCTCGTCTCGTTTTTTATCAGGTATAGCATCGGCGAGACAATTACCATTGTATACCCGACATAAAGTGGCACCCGCCCCAAATCCGCCAGCTTTATCTGCAACTTCGAACATTCCCAATATCGGTGGACTCGTGCAGAATATGAATGATTTGAGTGCTAGAACCAATCTGGATGCTGGATCTCACGACTCTTCCAATTATTCCGGAGATCCTCCAGATTCTCTCGTGCCAGCGTGGCCTGCTAGTTCAGCTTTACCAAGGATCAAAAAGTTATCTTGGGACGACGATGATAGAGTAATTATTTTACAATAAATTTATTTGCAAAATCCAACAAATAAATAAATCTATAAATATTTTATTTAAATACTGTATTAAATAGCAAATACAGAAAAAAATCTTGTAATATTTCGTGAATTCATTTTGTAGAAGTGTTTTAAAAATTTTGCAAATTGTTAAAAAAATTTAATTTAAACAGTGTGACAATTTAAGCAACTAGAATTGCGTTCAAATTGTAATATTCTTACTCATATTAAATAGTATTAAACAATTTAAATAGAGAATAATATCTCTTATCGCGATATATTAACCGTTTTCTAAAACGTACAATTGCATTTACTTATGCAAGAGAAATAATTAAATCCAAGTTCGTCTGCAAATACAAACTTCATGCAATCTACCTAAAGAGCAGATAGATGAAAAACACAATAGAAACAGAAGTATTTATCGTTTTTCAGACTGTGGATAGCGTCGAGATCGCGGCGGAAACGCGAACCGGAGACAATCAAGTTGGCAACGAGAGGCTCAATCTCACTGTGTACTTTTAACGATCCATTATTTTGTAAATGGGACGAATAAGGACGGGAAGATTGTTGTAAGCGCTGTTTGGTCAGTTTAGTTAAATAAAATCTCGTTGATGTCGAAATTCTTTGAATGAACTTCGAAGCATCGCAAAGCGATGCGACCTTATCCGGTCCACAGAGTATCTGTGCTATCTGCGCAACATAGCGTTAATTCGCATCATCCTGAATAGATTACGTCCATTATTTGCGTGATGCGACATCGATCTCTGATATTATATAAAGTAATCATTAAAAATAGCTAGAAATTGAACAATAGAAAAATGTTACGCACGGTATAAAAAATTTTTAATGTTAAAACAGAAAGAAGAAAAGAAATAGCGAATTGGAGTATGATAAATCTGACATTCCTGTAAATCTAAATTTGAAGATCCTGTAAATAATTAATACGTGAAAAGAAAAAATAATCAAATATTTTTTATAATCATATTATTAATGTACAAGAAATATTACGATTGTATAGTTTCGACATACTTTTAATTGCCTTGTTAATAAAATCAATAATTACCGATAATTTGACTTTCACACGTAAAACATTATTCTAATGCTTATTATTTTAAGTTTTATTACAGATTTCTAAACCGCTAATATTTTGTTTTGACAAAATTACATTCAAGAAGACATTTAAGCTTAATATACACGCCACAAGGCTGAAAGTTTAATACATATGGACATAAATTACAAGTTACATGATCACGTTATCAGAAAGTATAATGCGAGAAAGTATAATAGCTGGTCGCACGCTTCTGTCATTAAAAGGTAGATGAAGTTTCCGTGTTTGTACTTTGTTGAAACCACCGATATTCGAATGTACCGAGGAAATCGTGTCAGTAGGTTGATCTTCGCGAGTAATTACACAACGGGTAAACGAACGAATATTTGCGGAATTTAATTTCATAGAAACACAACTTTCGTTGAAAATAACAAAATACAACATTAGGTATAAAATTGATGAAGAACTATATTTTTTTCAGGATAAAAATATTCTTTTTTTTTAATATAATTCTATTTGGACTTGTCTTTAAATTTTCTTCCTTTACTATAAGCGCATCTTTTAATTATTCTTTCTAACATAAGAATCAATTTCTGCAATAATCAAGAGAAATAGTTTTATATAAAAAATTTTTATAATCTACATTCTATAATTATTAGATGTGAAAAGTTTAAAAAATTACGAAAGTTTGAAAGGCTTATACAAATTTTAATGATCAATCTATTATTACAAAAATCATTTTACATTGATCATCAACTGTATTATTAAAGAAATGTTAAGCAAGATAAATATGACAAATTGCTCTTATATTCTTCATCGATATTCTCGTGATACTGCTATAAAATTTATATATTCCTTTGCTATCCAGTAAAACTGTTATTATAATCAATAACTTATCAAATCCCATCTGAGGTAGACTTGCCGAAGAAAGTGACTTGACTTCTAAGGTGGGGAGAAAGTGACCTAGAGAGGTCTACGACATCGTCTCGAATCTTTTCTTCTCAGTCTTCCGTTACGTATGATTGGGTGTGGAATATACGAGTGGTACCAAGAAGAAAATATCTTGTGAGAAGTCCATACAAGAATTATTCCATACAAGTCGCATGAGTGAAGGTATTTATATTTTCAACACATAAAAATTGGTTGTTTTTGTAAAAAAAAATGTATAAAAAAGCTATAAAAAGATTCATTCGTTTTATTTAAAATATCTCGCTGACTTTTTACATAAAAATTTCAAAAATTGTATGTTTTAATAATACGTACTTTTTGTTAAAGAAGTAAAAGATTTAATTAGCTTATTAAATTTTAATCTAAACATTAATTTAAATCATAATATATAAATTAATATTAAGATAATTATTCGTGTTTTAATGTATCGAATTTATTGTTTCGCTTTAATTTCTTCCGATTTGCAATATTCATAAATAATTTCTGTACATATTTAATTAAAAGAAACGATATGCTGGATATGACGGCATTGTAACAGTAAACACATAATTTTTAACGTGCATACATCATTGGAATTTCAAGGTTAAATGTTACCAGTCAATTCTGTAAATGAGGTTGATAAAAGAGAATTCTATGACGCGCGTTCCAATTCTTTACCGTTTCCGACATCCATTATATACCAACTTCCCTAATTTCATGCATTACACAATTACTATTACGAAAACAACAAAATATACATATCGAAGCATCAACGTTTCTAAAAAGAAAATGTTTCTCTAAATATATATCATGAAATATTTACATTCATAAATTTACTTAAAATGGTATGCAAATGAAATATTATATTATTATTTTTATAAATCAATATATAGCTTTAATAATAAAAATTAGAATCAAATAATGAGATGAAACATAAAAAAATAATGCTTTTTTTTGTAAAAATCATCGCAATTTTAGTTGTAAATGAAAGAATTTCTATAATATTTTAAATTATTTTGTTTTTTACTTATCTAATATATTTCATAGTATTCAAATTTTATTAGAATTTATTAGATTTATTAGAAGCAAATATTCATATTCTTAAATATACATATTCTCTCTCTCTCTCTCTCTCTCTCTCTCTCTCTCTCTCTCTCTCTCATCTAAAAATTACTTCTTTTTAATATTACGTCGTTAAATGTATCACATATGAGTGTACAATGAAATTTTCCAACATATTTGCTTGCATCCGGGTATTTCCTATTTCAACATGTTGCTGTAAACTTTCCAGGAGAAAGTCAGATACACAAACATTGATTCAAGCGAAAAACGGAGCATCTTTATTTCGTTTACTTTACATTTCGTGGAAGGTGGCCTTTCAGTTTCAGCCTTTCATTTCATCTGCGATATATTTCTTCTTTGGTCTCAAAATTATGACGATGAGAAAGATAGTCGTGCAATTATATTCTTCAATTATACTTGTCACGTTGATGGCAATCGTCAATTTGGTATCTGGTACGTATTATGATTTACAAATACAACATTTTAACAATTTATATTAAAAAATCAAATATAAAAAATAAGTTATTACTATAATTATTTATTTATAAATAAAAATATTTAACAATAACGACGAAAATATGCACAAAAAGTATATACTGTTTTAATAATTTATTTTTTTTTTATTTCACCTACAATTATTATTATTAATCATATTGTTATATTATTATATTTTTATTATTTTAATTTACACTATTAATTTTATTTATTTAAATTACAATATTAAATTATGAAAAATACAATAAATTTTTAATCCGGTTATGTGCAATTAGATCTTTCAATACATTCAATATAATTTTATTTGCTGTGCCGTCTGATGATTCTCTAGCGAATTTAACGGCTGTTACGGTGAATCATGGTCCATGGACAGAGATTCTTGAAAATTGGATCACTCTTCCAAGGCATCAGTTCAACAATTCTCGTGCTGCACGAGCGATGAAGATTGATGATAAGACTTTGACAGTATCTAAAATCTCCACATCAAATAAAAGAGACGTTTCTGAAACTGATCTTTACCTACTTAGTACGATTTATAAGATATTTTTAAAAAATTCAAAAAAGAAAAGAAATTAATTTAATAATTTCAATTTTTAATATAACTTCCCAAATAGCAAAGTATCGTGTAATTAATTGGTGGAAATCATTCTTAACGAATCTGACGTCCTATCATTGTAAAAGTGACGTGGATTTGTCACAGTCACATAACGTCATATTAATCAACGTCGGAAATACGTCATTATTTTCGTATTATTAACGGCATAAATGAATGACATTATAACGTCATTCATTAATAACGTTACCAGTACGTCGTCGATTGGTCATTTATCTGACGTCAATAAGTATGACGTTATAGATACGTCATAATTAAATGACGTTATTAATTGGTAAAAAAGATAACGTCATTATTACATCTCAAATAGACGTCAATAATTCAAAATAACTAATTATCTACGTAAAAATGATTACAGTTTGCTACCTGGGTTATAAATAATTAAAAATAATTTAAAAAAAATTTTATAATGAAAAAATTATTTAAAATGATATAATAAAAAAATATTTTTTAATTAAAAGAATGAGATTTAGGAATCTTAAATGGAAATTTACAGGTGCTATTGAAAAATTGGTGTATAGAGTAGACTATCTAGAAAAAAGAGTAAGAAGGGCAGAAGAATTATTGTACTACGTTATTGCTGGAAACAATAAAATGAAAGGTAAAACTTCTTCAATATAAAAAAATCGATTTAAAAAATAATTTCGATATAATATAAAATATATGATGTGTAATATGATGATAATCAAGAAACATATATTTTCTTCTATAACGTTTAAATGAAATTAATTGTTATAAGGAAGAAAGGCAAATCTATTATTTACGCGCTTAATACAGCTTTAATCTATATCATTTATTATATCATCGCTTTTTTAGAACCTTGTCCTACTAATTACACGAGAATGGGCCAAAATTGCTATCACTTCAGTAATCGTGATTTCGATTGGAAATCATCGGGTAGTCTTTGCCGTGGTATGGGTGGACATTTGGTCGAATTCAACACGGTCGAGGAAAGTCAAGATGTAATCGCGGGTATAATGTCAAACTCCAAATTGAAGGGTAATTATTTCTGGACAGGTGGCTTAAATCCAGGGCTTTTATGGATTTGGGCCAAGAGTGCTAGACCGGTTCAACAAGATACTAAACAGACCGTCATTGGTGATGGCAGGTTGGTATCGCTCTTAAATAGAACATTTTTACATAGATAAAATAGAATATCAATAGCGTATACATAAGTTAAATGTTTCACTTAGACAATTAATTCTCAACAATAAATACTTGAATTATAAATTATTTTAAATTGTAGGTGCTTGAAGTTAACTTTCAACGTATCGTCGAAACTTTATTCGTACAGAGGTGAAGATTGTAGCTCAAGGCAAAGATATATCTGCGAATTGACGGTCGAAGACGAATCAGCAAACAGGATCGAAAGGACAGCACGATTACTAATTGATAAAAGTGATTAGGCGCATTTTAGCGGATAAAAATAACGTAATAAATCAAACACGAGGAATTATATTTATTTATAAACATATCTTTTTAATAATTTAATTACATAATTTTTTATTACAAAGTATAATTGATTTTTTAATAAAAAAATACAATATATAATATTTATAGGTTCTCCTTGATAACTAATTTTGTGTATATTTAAATAAATTGACATTTCAGTAAATTATATTATCATTTATAAATATATTCATTATGAATTTTAGATTTAATAGATAAAAGATAATGACTAAAATAGTCATTATCTTTTAAGAAATATTTTTACATGATATGAGGTTTTGCTTAGCTAATAAATTTCGCGGCGTGATGCGCCATCACCAGACTATGCTTGCTTTCGTTCACCAAAGGCAGAATACGGTCGGAACACGCCACTAGTGCGCCGTTTTCAGTATATGATTTAGTTGTTATGTCATCGGGTTCGACACTACGGCAGCAATCATCAATCACAGCTACAGGATAACCCAATCGCAAACCATCCAAACACGTCTCCTTTACACATACATCATAGGCGAGGCCACAGGCATACAAGTGCGTGGCTCCAACGGCCGACAAAATTTTTTCAAGTTCCGAGGAGCCTTCCGCATCTTTTTCAAATGCTGAATATGAGTCTTTGTCTGGATCCTGACCCTTATATACCTTGAGTACAAAAAGGGAAGAATATTCCAATTAATTAAATATACCAGATTTCTTGATATCAGATATACATAATTTCAAAAATAAGATAATTTATAAATACATAGATAGATTAAAGAACTGTAGGAATTCATGCCTTCTTAAATAACAGTTAGTAATTATAGAAGAAAGAAATAGCTGCCAGAGGTTTACGTGATAAAGATATTTATACAATTACTTTATATGTGATATCAGTTACTATGCAGTTCAGGAAAGAATTAGACCAATTAGAGAATCTTTAGTGAAATATAAATATAATACGGCTCTCCATAACATCTCTACTCTTTTTTATAAAATTGAGTTATTACCCGTTCGGAAGAAGGCAATATTAGCAGATCTTTATGCAATTCAGCGCCCCAGGTGTTCTTAACGCAGTGTTTTGGCCAAAGTATTTGCGCTAAGTGAGGTTGCAAGAAAACAACGGTGTCGAAGGGTTTCGCCGTTTCCTTAGTGATCTATTTCACATTATAGGATTATCTTACATTTATTTCGGATTATCGAATTACAGGCTAAATCTACCTCAGATAAGATTTATTATTTAAATTCATAAAAAAAAAACACCAAAAACTCAAATGTGTTAACGACACAAAAAAGTGAAAAAGTTATCTAAAAGGACATGTTCAAGAATTTTTTAGACATCTCTATTTTATATTATATACATATATAGATAGCTAAAACTAGTTTTGTATAAATTTATAATATATAAAAAAGTAACAATGAATAATATGGAAAAAAAAGAATAAGATTAGAACGTTAATATTAATTTATTTTTTCATTTACTTATTCGAATTATTTTATTGAATTATTTTATTTTCTTGAATCATTTTATGGAACTATTTTATTATTTTATTCAGGCAGATATGTTTAAATACCTCAGATTTTGGGTGAAGTTCGCGCATCGCCAAATTGTCAAAGAAGCTGATGTGATTTTCAGGATGCCAATCCTGTGTATATATCACTTTGTTCCAGCGACCCTCTTTCAAAAGCCGATTTATCGGTTCCACCACTTCCAACCCTTCTTGCCCAAAGCCGCATTTTCGAAGTGCCAGAGTGCCATCGATGAAATCGTTCTGTACATCGACGACTAGCAAAACATTAACGGGATTCACAATCGTTTGTATCCATTTACAACAGCTACAATAAGAATTTGTTTATTGTGAAAAACAAATCTAAACTTTATTTCTAAGCAATTTACTTTTAACTCATTATTCGTACAAATAGAAATCCGAACTAAAAATTCTCTCTTTGCCTTTTTTCAGTTCAATTCAATAAATGATTTAGAAAATCATTTTACATTAATATATACATATATATATAGTTGTTGACTTGATAATTAGGAATAAAGAAATACGAAAGTTAGTCATAGGTTTGGCAATAAATCAATATATGGTCAATGGTCAAAGAAAAGAGCATAAACAAAGACATTAGCATTAAAATGAATTATTCATTTAAAAAAATGATGAAAAATAAATCACTCTATTGTTGCGGTTACACTGCCATAAAAATTCTAGTAACACACCAACAAATCATTAGTGTCGTCATGTTGCCATTACATTACTGATAACATACCACATTAATATGTCTGACTGCTTGCTTTTCAAATTCCATTAACTAAATACTTACAAATCCTAGTGATAAGAAGTAGAGATAGATTGTAATCCATTGTAAAAAGTAAATAACTATAATTCTTCATTCTCGAGCAAGAATGTGTTAAGTTAATAAATTAAAAGCAGATGTCAAGATAAGGAGTCAGATAATAAACGTTATTTCTCAAGTGAATTTCAAAAAACAATGTAAATTATAATAATGTACTTTCATTTTGTTAGATATAGTGTCGTAAATATAAAATCATTAAATACAGTTAGTTTGTACATACATGCGACGCTATTTAACGAGATATTGTAATTTAGACTGTCTTTTGACATTTACTTGCGACTCAACTACAAGACATTTATTATCTAAGAGCTTTAGAGCGAGAAAGGACGAAAACAAACGAGGCAGTTTGTCTCGCAACGTATCAGCAAGGACAAATTGTAACGGACAGACAAATAATTTAAATATATATTTAATAAATAAAGGAAAGCACCCTATTATGATAAACGCTTAATATGAGATAGCGGCATTTCTGTTAAACTAATAAACGCTATTGGTTCCACCATGAATTTATTGCTCTTGAATTGAAAACTATTTAGTAGAAAATTCATTATTAGATCATGCCTATAGTCGTTGTAAAAAAGATTTTAGAATTTGGATATTTTCAAGTTTCATTGAGATGAGCCCTTGATGGAACCTTGTTTATTATTTAATAAATAAATATTTGACAATAAATTCTTCATGTAGTGGTAGAGTAAAATCGTATTAATAGAAAAATATGGGATATGTTGTATTGCTTAATTACAGAAGTTAGATTTGAGGATCGTAAAATCGTAAGGCGTGGAAATCATAATATGAGATATCCAGGGTATTTCTAATATGAAATAATCTATATATGCGCCCCTATGTCACAGTGAAAATCGTTGCTAACATATAAATGTTATTGTACAATAATAAAAAGGATAACTGGAATGAACATCCAGTGCCTTTTTCTGCGATGCTTGGTTCCAACTACCTGAAGACGAGTTCTGGATACAATGCATCGCATGCTCATTTTGCGCGCACACTAGCTGTGTCTGTTTGTATTTTAGAAATATTAAATAAAATTTTTAATTGCAATATTGATATATTTTGCGTTTTATTATCGATTTCTCGGAGCATCTCATATTAGGAGTACAATTTTATGATTTTTTTCAAGCACTATCTTAATAAAAAAGAATTAGATAATGAATCTGAAATGTGAAAAGTGACAGATCCGGACTTTGCGTCGCAATATCTCCGCTTGTAGGGCACGTAGGAAAAAAATAAAAGCACTTTTATTATACAATCTAAGCGGTGGCTATCGATTGAGCGTATATAGAACTTGATCCGTTCAGCCGTTATTAAGATTCGATAATCTCAATCTGCCACAACTCGCCGGCTCGCGTAAAGGAGGCACGGCAGTGTCGCTGCGCTTGGCTTAGCGCCGAGACACTACTGTGTCTCCAGATTAATAAATATAAACAAATCGTGGTCTAAGAACTGCAAAAAAAGTGTAATAATTATACAAGGTTTCAATCAAGCCGGTTTTTCGAGGAAGTTTCCCATGAATTTAAACATGGTTTTGAGAAAAACTGCTTTAAAGTTTGAAATTGATTTTCTAATCCAAATGGTTATAACAAGTATTATGCATATGTAATAGCCAACTATAATAGCCGACGTTTACTTCATTTCGATTCTCTCTATTTATTCTAATTAAGAATCCTGACAATAGAATCGGTCTCTTGAAAAGAGCACTAGGCATTTCAATACCTGTTCGATTCGTTCCGCGCAACGTCTCAGAAAATGTCTATTATCTCAAAAATACTTTTTTTTCAAAATCACTTTAAGGATTAATTCTACACACGTATAAGATTTAAAAGATTCAATTACTTAAAAATCAATTTTTCTCAATCCCAATGAAAAAATCTTTTAAAATGAATCTTAATTGATCGAAAAACTTTTAGTCATCATTTTGGAGCCATTTTCATGTCATCATGACTTGTTATTTTGTTCTGAGTCCAAAGTTTAGATTCTCACCTGAATGTTACCAGATATCACTATCCTTGTTATTTACCAAACATTAAACAAGGATGACATGACACACGCGTGTGGGAATCCGTGGGAATCCGAACACGCCTTTATTTATGAATACATTAAAGTAAATGTATATGACAGTAAAACGTAGTTTCAACTTTTTATAACTAATAATAAATGTATTATGTCGTATTAAATGTAGGTAAATGTCTAGGTTTAATTTATTAAGCGAATATTTATGATTTATTTCCTCTTCTCCTAATAAACCAATTGGATCCATAAATAAAACATAATAAAAATAGTAAAAATATGTTGCATGACTTTGTATCTAAATTATTTTCCTAGAATAGCAAGAGAAAATGTAAAAAATTACTAACTAAAATTAAATAATCCAATGTAAAATTCAATATCTTATTAAATAAGTAAAATACAAATGGTAACGAAAAAATATCAAGAAATTCAACTATTTTAAATCAAATATTTCCATCTATATAATATTAAGGTTAGAAGGAAAAAGTAATGTCTTATTTTTTACTCTTTATTTTTTGCTCCCTTTTAGCCTTCTTTTAACTTGTAATATTTCTTAGCTAAAAATTATATATAGAATATGAATTATCCCTTTTCCTCTTTTAACCACATGATCACACCCAATCAATTTTTAGAAAGAACAGAAGTATTTGCATACACATCACCTATGCAATTCTTGGTCGTTCAGCACACCGTCTGCGTTTGCGTCAAACAGCTCAAATATCTCTCGTACCCTCCACTCATCTTGCTCGACTTCGTCCGCGCCGAATAGTCGGACGCAAAGCGTTCGGAACTTCTCATAGTTGAACGTTTCTTTAGTATCAATGTCAAATCTGGACAATACCTTTATCGAAAACGACCAAGGATTGTCATTCTCTGGAAGCGCCATATGTACGTGCACTACGTCGCTTTGAATGTCACGGTTACGTTATCACGTCGGCACGACGATCGCACGACTATCGCTCCAATGTTAATAAATTGTTATTTGTCCCATTTGTCCCACTCACATTCAGGAGTATGTTCAGATTTCCACCCGAGTGCTTCCTGGCCAATCTAATTGTCTGATTGGCCAATCAGAAAATAATCTACACTAGTATTTGTGTAGCACTACATGGACTACTGTCCTCAGGTAGTCGAGTCACAAGTCAGGTAGAAACGCATATAAACACATCGATCAATACAGCCGTCGTTACGTCGCTGACATGACACATGTAGGCTTCGAAAGGAAAAGCATCTTTTTCAATACTTTTTAGACTCTTATTTAGAACTCTGATATAAGATGCGATACACTTCACGCTGTAAATGCTTTGTGTGCAAATGCTTTTTAATATTAAATTTTGATCAGTTTAATACGTATTGATTTCATATCGTATTTTGATAGTTTAATGATAAAACAGATTTTCCCAATATCGGTGAAATTTGTCTGTATATTTAAAATAAACAAATAATATTTTTAATAATAATCATATCATGAGTTTCAAAGTATAATCTGTAGTATTATTATAATCGCTAATAATTTAGAATCTAAAATTTATTATTTTGCAAATTCTATATAAATTGCGCTTACCTGCGCAGGTCTATATATATATATATATATATATATATACTCAGTTCCAAAAAAAGCGGTACACTATAAATTTGGGAAAAATTTACCAAATTTCAAATGATCATAACTTAAAAAAAATAACGTAAAAAATAAACATAATGTAGAAGCAACGGAGGCAGCTTTAAAAAGTATTCCGCATGCCTTCGATGACCACGACATTTGTGGCGAATGATGCGGATTTAAAAATGGTCTCATACATTATAAACATAAAGGATTACCAGGAGAAAAAAGACTGAAAGGTGAGAATTTACGTAAAAAACTCATAAAAATTTTTTTTTAATTTTGGGGAAACGCAGATAAATTGACACCAAGTGGTTCTAGTCAAGCCAACGAATCGTACAACGCGATTGTCACAAGTAAAACCCCGAAATCATGCCATTATAGTGGATCGGAATCATATAATTACCGTATTGCCGCTGCAGTTTGCCGGAAAAATCTCGGTACATCATATGTTATGAATATTAATAAAAAAAAATTGAGCTTTATCACCAGGAAAAAAAACTGAAAAATTTAGACAATTAATGAATGAAAAGAGAAAAAGGAGAAAGGGCTTTCTGGGCATTAATCGTTATTAGTTTTACAAACTTAATTTGTATAGGTCTTAATCAGGAGTGACGTTATCACATGATGGAATCGTACCTTTGCTGAAGAAATGTATCTGAAAATGTATCTGAAAATCAGTTCAGATAGTGTTTCTGTATCTAGCTACAAATACTCAAATTTTTAAATGTATTTCAAATACAGGTTAGATACAAAATGCATCTCTATAAATGTATTTAGATAATGTATAGAGATACTATACTGCGCTTACAACTTACATAACTATATATTTAATTCGTTGATTTCAAATTTCACATTGTTTAAAATATAAATTATTTTAATTATAAAGATCCTTTCAATATATATTCGAGATTTATTATAGAGTGATTATTTAATGACAACATATAATTTTTTTATGTGCGAGAAATTCTATTTAATAAAAATGTATACAAAAAAAATGTATACAAATAGTCATAATTATCTTCATAATTTTATTTCTATTTTAACCATGCTTGATTAATGGCCAATGCTTTTGATGAAAACTCATGCTTAGTATTTTTATACAATAGAAAATTCGCAACTTTATGCCGTAATCTTATTGTCATTAATTATTATGCAGAATTTACAGAATCCCATTTTTTTATTGAAAGTAATTTTGCTAAATCAAAAATTATTTTTTCATAATAAATTGCTTTGTTGCAAGAGAAGAATGTTGAGAAACTCTTTTTTTAAGCTATAACTTTGTATTTCTCTAAAGAATAAATAAATATTGATATTTTTGCTCATCAAATGTAATCTTATAAGATACTTACTATCAGTATCATTAAATTGATTATAAATTTAATATAATACGATATTACATTTCGCATTGGCATAAAATTATATTTCAAGATTGACTTAGTAATCGGCACACGGTTCAAGTGACAGAAAAGAAGAGACTGTACATATAAAATTTATAAGAAGTTATTATTAAGCATAAAATTATACTAATTTTTTTAATAAGACATGTTTTGTTGTAAATTAAATATCTTTGATATTTAAATTTAGAATCACACATGTATGCTCCATAGAACTATACATATTACAGATATAAATTTATATGTTAAATAATATTGTATTTATAAATAATAAATTATTTATTTCAATCACTTTCTTTATAATCGCATCGTCTTTACTGTTACGGTTAATTATCATTGTTAATTATTGTAAATCCTAATAACTTAGTAATTTTTAGAAATTTATAAATTATTTACAAGTATATCTGTTTCGTGTTTCATATATCTGTATACATTTGTACATAATATGTTGCATATAAGATAACTCTAACGCATTTGCGTGACTGAATGAATATTGTTATGCAAGACAAACAAGTAGGTATTTGTTATATGCAACAAAAAAAATACTGTGGTGTACATGTACCAATATGGATGATACAGATGAATATCACGGTCTATTAATCATGTTTTCATGTACGAGTAAATTAGTCGAATCATCGATATAATTAACGTATTACTCTATACGAGTTCAATATTTAAGTCATAAAATTGATTGGAAAAAATTAAAAATATAAAAATGTAAGCACTGAATAAATAATTTTTTTAGAGACAGAGATAATTTAAAATAAGAAATTTGCTCAAACCATAAAATTTTGAGTTACAAACGTCTATTAATTTTACATTAACTTGTTACAAAAAATGGAAGGTACAAGAAAATAAATTATATACACACATTGTTTAATAATACATTGTTTTGCGTGAGATATGTATTAAAACACATATTATACTCTTGAACAAAATGAAGAATTAAAAAAAATAAGTAATTGCTTTAAAGCAACACAAAAGCGAATTGTCAACAAATTTATAAAATTGGAGTCTCTCATATACACTTATAAGAATATAATGGCAGTGATTAGGTATATATCTATTTGTTCGTGGAAACGAAACTGCTCATAAAAGTACTAAAGTGTTTTGATAAATATCCATATTTCCTCTAAGCTTTAAACTTCTAAGCTTCTAAACTTTCTTTATGAAATATTTAGTATCTAAAAAATAATATTTGGTAATCGCTTTACTGCAACGAAAATTAACTGCAATAAATATAATTAAGATATGTAAAATATACACATACATACTTTACACTTCACAACACAATAATATTTTAAATACGAGAAAATAACTATTAATTTGATATTTAGAAAGATCTAAAAAAATAGAGAAAATATGAGATACATAAATAAATTATCTATAATCAGTTTTACGCAATGAATGATCGAATAACTTAAATAATCAATTATATATGTACGAGGTCTGTTCCGAAAGTATCCGACTTTTGTCTGTATCATGAGAAAGAGCTATTCCGGAGTAATATGAATAACGTCGCTTTCAAAGTAATTTCCTTCCGAAGCAATGATCTTCTGCCAACTGTGCATCCACTTGCAAAAGCAGTCCTGGAAGTCATTTTTAGTGATAGCCAACAGCTCCCTCGTCGCATTTCGCTTTATTTCCTCAACATTGTCAAATTTTTCTCATTCCTAGATCTTCAATATTCGAGAAAATATTTAACATAATTTTTGGGATCCCAAGGTCTTCTTCTAACTCTCGCACAGTCAAACGGCGATTTTTGTCGATTGCGAATCGTACACGTTCCACGTTTTCCACTGTTTTCGACGTTGAAAGTCTATCGGAACGAGGATCACTGTCCACTGAGACACGGCCATCTTTGAACCATCTAAACCATTCTTTTATTTGTATGTTACTCATAGTCATTACCATAAACTTTACGGATCATGTCGATTGTCTCGGAAAATGTGTAGCCAAAGTTTTTGGCAAAATTTTATACAAATTCTCAGCTCAACTCGTTCAGTCATTCTGAAATGCGACGCCCGGAGTTTTCGACGCTCATACAACTGTGTACCGTTGCTGACTGAATAGCTGTTGGGTTGTGCCACTTGGTGGGGATACTCCTAAAAGTCCACCCTAAATATTGAATATCTGTTTTCCGCAATAGGATGCCCAAGAACAAAGATATACACAGAGATCGGATACTTTTGGGACAGACCTTGTGTGTGTGTATATATATATATATATATATGCTTGTTTTATATGTATACTATCTATATCAAAATCTTATGTATTAAAATTACGTGTAACATTAATAGCGCGTGACATGGTAACGTTTAAAATAACATTTAAGCTATCTGGAATTTATCCTTCCAGGTTTGTGTGTTCTTGAATTATATCTTTTGCTATTTCGAGACATTTAGATTACGACATAACTTGTTCCTTTCTTCGGTAATGTCAATAGCAATTTTATTGATAACAGGATGTCTGATCTTGCCATTAATCGAGACAAAGAATTCATTCAGTTCTCCCGGAATGTTGTCCCTTTTTTCGTATTCGTATGCTTGCATCAGCAAGTCTAGTCTATCTAAGTCTTTAACATACTGTGCTTCAGGAGATTCCTGCTTTTCATATTCCTAAATATTTTTTAAAAGATTTTTTTTAATATTAGTAAATATTGATAAATGTTAATACTGAAAAATCGGAATAACAAAGAATATTCTTACACGAAATATTTGTAATATCTCAGGTCCCTTATCACCTAGCAGCTTGCAAATGTCTTCCATAGCTTCATCTTCCATTCTATGTTTTTCATCTGGTGGAATGCCACAATAAGGTGTTATGTCTCCCACAATACATTCAGCTAGGTCATGAATCAATGTCATCTGCATTATTCTGTAAATCAGAAAATACATATATATATAAATTACCAATATCAATGATATATAACAATATCATATAAACAAATTATTTAATTTTATAAAAACAATAATATGAAATTTCAAGTTATAAAAGGTTGTTATACTATTAAAGTTTATTATTTAATTATACTATTAAAGTTATTATACTATAATAATAAAGTCTCACTTGATTTTGTCTAATTTTTCTTTTCCGTCCACTAGAAACGATAACATTGCCATACGGTACATGTGACCAGCAATTGTTTCAGGATCAGATATATTCCGTTTTACCCATCCCATCCTTTTCATATGCTGGAAAATATAACAATAGAAACCATACTTTGAATAAAATTCTTAAACCTATGTTATACATACATTTATTTCTTTCAAATTTCAAGGAAACATCTCTTAACATAAAAAAATAATTGTTAGATATTATAGATACAATAAATGTTTTAATTATATTTAATTTATACATCTTGCAGTTAGCTTTATCACTGATCTGATTTCTTTGTAGTTTGCTTTGTATAATATGAGTGAATTCTATACTTAAAAAAAAATAATATAAAGGAAAGTATATTTTGGTTAGAAAATATTACACATTATATAATATATAACATTATCATAATTCTTTTGTTTGAGATAAAAATAATATAGAATGATACAATTTCTTTTTCAATATTATTTTCTCGTAATTTTTATGCATTCTTTTATGACTTTATTATTTTTTAAAGTCTTTAAAAATAGTATAATTTTGAGATTAAAAAAAAATATTTTAAAGTCTTATTTTTTCTATGTCATAAATATGTCATCTTGAAATTCAAAAATTGAAATGGAATCTTACATCTATATAAGTAAAATATAAAGAATCATAAATGATCAAACAAAGATATTGCTGCAGGATTCAAGATGTTGATTCAGCAACAAATCTAATCTAACCATTTGATTGCATGGTATTTATCAAGATGTAATTTTAAACAAAGGAAATTACATCATAGTTGATTCATATTATCAAAACACTCATAAATCAGCATGATTTAGAACATATAAATAAAGAAATTAAAAATATAATATTCTGTTAATGCTAATATTAATGAATTTTCTCTTTTCTTTTCTGTTTTTAATTTTATGTTACACATTTCTAATTCTAATTCTCAATTAAGCTTATATACTCAGAAAAATGTTTTGTAGAAGAATTCCAATGACTTCTAGATACATTTTGACCATTAAAATAAAAAATATAAAAATATCTTTGTTAATACTAATTTCCAACGTACAAAGAACGATATCTATTATACAAAACAATGAGTTACAAATTGCTTATTATCCTTACTTTGTTTAAAGGTCAAATATGTATAGTTTCATATATCTGTAAGGTCAAAAACTTTAGAAGTTTTATATCTTGTATATGCATATGTACATCTTAAATATCAACATGTTTCTTTATTTCTCTTTTTTTTAATTATTTCTATATTCTTGTGTGAAGATCGATAACATATCAAAATGAAAATACGAAGTAATATTTCAGATATAATCAATTCCTGATAATCAAAATTGTCAGAAAAAGTTATCTCTTCTTATTGCAATGTCGTCCAGTATTCATAGTCGATTCTTATATTTGAGACTATAAGCCAATCGGAGAGCTATATTAGCATCTTTAAACATTACTTAAGACGGTCTTAAAATAAAAAAAACCGACTTATATGAATACCGCCCAGAGAGCTGTATTATTAGCATCTTAAAACGTTACACAAGACGGTCTTAAAGTAAGAACGGACTACAAATACCGCCCTTCAAATCTTTATCGAGAACACCTTTAATCATGATTCCTTATAAACTAATGTTGACATATAATCATGTTAAAAAAAGTGATCTCTATTGGGGGGGGGGGGGTCATAGGTTGACATAGGCAAATGTTAGCAGCAATAGGAAATCTTCTTACATAAGTATCTGTTTTTTCTTATCTTTTTTTTAACTCAATAACATTCTTTTTCCCTTTCCTCCCTCTCTTTCTTACAATATTCTATTTCAGAGAAAAATTTCAGAAATAAAACTGTTCTTGTCTATACTATTTTACATAGTATTCTTTTGTCTAGTGATTCGAGGTCACTTGGGAAATATAAATGTATGTCATGATTTGACAGCTGCGAGCATATCATCTCGAAGCTTACCTTCAGCCGACCGACCAGCTCCATAAACTCCTGTAGTCCTTTTGTGTTTTGCATCGCGATCGGTTGAAATTCTCGTAATCGTTCTGTCACCGTCAGTCGTACGAAGTTACTCGTGGTTGCACTTGGCTGCCATCAACACTACACTACTCTCACGAAGCGAACATTCCCGAACTGGCATTACTGGTAAATGCTGACAGAAAGTAAAGCTGGAAACACAATAAACACAGGCAATAGGCACAGGGAATAACGAGCCGTCCAATCACAGCTCTGGAATATAAGTTCGATATTATATCCCAGAGCTCTGATTGGACGGCTCGTTATTTCCTGTTGACTATGGCCGGTATTCATAGTCTGATCTTATTTCAAGACCGTCTTAAGGTCGTGTAACCATTCATAGTCGATTCTTATTTCAAGACCGTCTTAGGCCGGAATCAGACTACGCATTGAAGACTGAGATCGAAGATTGAAGATTGAAATTTGACCAATGAGGGCAAAGGAATTTTAACTCCTATTGTTTTGATTGGTCAAATTTCAATCTTTCAATCTTTAATCTCAATCTTTAATGCCCAGACTGATTCCGGCCTTACCCCGGATCTATAATAGAGTTTTAAGCCTTAAGCTATAAGAAATGGACGAATCATAGTCAATTATTCTTCTCGAATTCCACTGTAATGCGGGGTCTACAATAGAAGTCGTAGCAGTCGTAGGGTCTTAAGTTGTAGAAAATTGACCAATCACAGTCGAATATGAGAAGAATAATCAACTGTGATTGGTCAATTTTCTACGACTTAAGACCTTATGACCGCTACGACTTCTATTGTAGACCCCGCATAAGTAATATCTTAAGACACTGATGCGGCCCTCTGATTGGTTCGTGACATCTTAAGACTGTACTTAAGACAGTCTTGAATATAAAGCTGATTCTACATTGATCGCATCGCAGCGTCGCAAGCGTGTCGCAAGCGTTGCAGTCCAATCAGAGTCGAGTTAGCTTGACGTTGATTGGACCTCAACGCTTGCGACGCTGCGATGCGACTAATGTAGAACCAGCTTAAGATCTGACTATGAATACCGGCCTAGATTTACCAATGAAACACGCAGTCCGCACCTAGTGCTAAAGTCACTAGATGTTAATCTAGTGACTTTACCTAGTGCGCACCAGTTTTTCCAATGAAAAACGCTATTACATTGGTCGCATTCAGCAGACTCAACTGTTGCGGAGCGGATCAATGAGCTCTCGCTGCTATTGGATGATCTAAAAGAATACACCAATAGCAGTGAGCGCTCACGGATCCGCTCCACAACAGTTGAGTCTGCTGAACGCGACCAATGGCTGCGTTCAGCAGAACGGTTGTTTTGCAACTGTTGGAAGTTTCCTTCGCGCTAATTGGATCATACTTTTAGATCTAGAAGAATGGTCCTATCTCAGCAGACAATCATAAAACGGTTGCAAAACTGTTGAGTCTGCTGAACGCAGCCAATGAGCGGTTGTAGTGTTGAATGCACCTATTGGCTGCGTTCAGCAGAACGGTTGTTTTGCAACTGTTGGAAGTTTCCTTCGCGCTAATTGGATCATACTTTTAGATCTAGAAGAATGGTCCTATCTCAGCAGACAATCATAAAACGGTTGCAAAACTGTTGAGTCTGCTGAACGCAGCCAATGAGCGGTTGTAGTGTTGAATGCACCTATTGGCTGCGTTCAGCAGAACGTTTGTTTTGCAACTGTTGGAAGTTTCCTTCGCGCTAATTGGATCATACTTTTAGATCTAGAAGAATGGTCCTATCTCGGCAAACAATCATAAAACGGTTGCAAAACTGTTGAGTCTGCTGAACGCAGCCACTCATACATAAGTTTGAAATAATCGTGTCATGGAACCAAAATGGCGGCAGTTCGCGGTACTTTGTTAATCTAGTGACTTTAAATTTGGGTATTCACCGTTGCATAGGCTTGTTCTTTTTGGCTGAACTTTTGCACTAGTTCGTCTTTCTTCCTCTTCTTTTCTCCTGGAGAAAAAAGAAAGAAAGTTGAACTGGTTCAAAAGTTCAGCCAAAAAGAACAGGCCTATTGTAATATATGTATGAACAAAAGACGTCATTGTTCCTTGTTGTGCCTTGATGCTTACATATGCACAGATTTTTTTATTGGATAATTACGCAATACATCAACCGACGTTCAAGTCGCATTTCGGACCATGGATTATCACTTATTCAGTAAGTGATTTCGCTGTAATATTTAGAAAATCTAGGAAAAGAAGCTATATCGTAGCCCTCCAATCTTGTTGATCATTTCGCTAAATTGAGTTTTGCTTTTAATTAATGAAAATGTAATTACAACCGATCGCGTTAAGGTTCGCTTTACAATCGAATAGCACAAGTTAGATTAAGATTGTTTGATACATTATCAGCACATTATTGCTAACATTTTAAAATTTCTCCGGGAAATCCCGATTTTTATAGAACGCAATTTATCGTGAGTTGTTAATTACACGATATTGATTATTATTTTTAGATTAGATATATAAGAAGTCCTGACAGAGAGAAATAGTCGTTCTAAGTAAGTATAATCAGTGATTAAAGTGAGCTTTTATTATTAAATTTTAGAATTAAATAGAAAATGTTGATATGTGTAATGATTTTGATATAATACTACTAAATATTTCACACATAAAAAATAATATTATAACTAATATTATAATAACATAATATTATAACTAATATTAGAATTTAGTTGACGTATGAGGTTAAGATTCATCAAGAATGATGTCATCTTAAATTAGATAAATTGGACATAACATGCAATATAACAAATATAATAGATTTCAAATAGATGTAAAAAGACTTTTTAACAATAACTTTTGAATGATATTCGACCGATAAATAATTTTTTATTCTAAATTCATCAAATTAACAAGCATTACTTTGTCAGAAAGATAGAAAAACATATTAATCGTTAATGTGATTTTTTTATTTAGCAAAAAAGGATTGTTTATAACTTCTAAAAGATTTTGTGATCATAATGGCTACAGAAGAAGAAACTACAGACATACGTTGGGTAAGTCGTTTTTTAATACATTATATGCAACATTATACTGAATATCGATAACTTCTTATGTTATACTAATTTTTCAAACATTAGTTAACTATACTCACTCAGTTTACTTGTTTACATCATTCCAAAAATATGGTTTAACACTTGAATTTAACTGTCGATAGAGGAATTAATCACTTGATAGTTTTTCTCAATTAATTTTATCAGAAACAAAAATATTTGAATGTATTGTTAATAATATATTTATTTTTTAGGAAACTATGAAAACTTTTGCCATGCAACAGCAACAATGCTTATTTGAACTTCTTCCCGAGTGCACAATATATAAAAACGATGAACATGAATATCTAAAACAAAACATTGGATACGCAATTTATGGTCCACCAGAGAATACCAAAAGTACAAGTACAAAAGAAGACCACTGTTATTGTAAAACAGAGAGTCCAAATGATGCAGATGTAGTTGGGACAGTAGGTTATTCAGAAGATGCTCAAAAAGTCATAAATAAGATATACGAGAGAATATGTACATCTTCAGTTGAAACCGATGACGCTGGATCAATTTACTATGGTGTAATTTATAATATGATATTCCGTCCTAAAACAAATGTAAAGCCTAAGAAAAAAGAAGTAAAAGAAGAAGCAAACAAAGATGTGCTTGATCTTGTAATGCCTGTTCCTATTTTTACAATCAGAAGTAAGAAAAAGTATGAAACTACAAAGAAGGCAGAACAAGAAAATACATCAACTGCTGATGAAGTACAGTATGCAACATCATACATTGATGCCACTAGCAGAGTATATAAAAATTGGACAGACTATATAGAAAATAATAATTTACCAGAGTGTACTATGGTTCTTCCAAAACATGGTTTTTATGAATCAAATCCAGCTTATCATCCTACAGAGGATTATTCGACAGTTTGGCTGGAAATCCTGGAGTCTCCTTCATGTAAATGGAATGTAAAACTCTGCAAGGGAATGGATGTCGCTTCTACTGTCGTTGGATTTGGCACAATTGGTTTGAGTATCGCAGCGCTGTTCACACCTCTTGCGCCAGTTGTTGCTATATCAGGTAAATTGTCCTTAATTGCAAAAGCAATTTATCATGTTAAATATTAATTGTGTAAGTTATGATTTATTATTGTATATACCAGCATTTATTTCAATACTATATAATACTATATAATAATAAAGGTATAAGACAGTATTACATTCTATTTTATCATATTTATTAGGTGTTGCTGTTACTACTGCGACTAGTGCTTGGTCATTCGGTCGAAATACCCAACAATTAGTAGACCGCAGTAAACATAAAGAATCTATTTATTTATTCGACAGAGAAGCATTTGCACATTACCTCAGCATGACCAGCACTGCATTTGGTTTAGGAGCAATGGGAGGATCAGCGATTATTTCCAATGTTGCTGCACGTGGTATGACAGTAAATACCCTTGCAAGAGTGGCATTTAATACTGTACAAGGTGGTAGTATGATCTTGAGTGGTGTTGGCGTCATATATCAGGGTCACTGTATGTATGATAAATATAAAAAAGAGAAGACTGTCAGTGTCATAGACGCATTAAATTTGGCGACGCATCTTATGTTTTTCTGCGGCTCCGTAGTTAAGGTTCAATTTGCCAGCGACATAATCGAGAGTACTCAAAGTAATGTTATCAAAGATTATAAGGATTCTGTGAGCACCAAACGTCTTCGTAATAAGTTCAATAAAATTGTAAGGAAAGCTGCCGACAATAATACATGTAAAATATCCGAAAATGCGGAAGTGATACTTTATATAAAACATCGTCGAGATCTTTTGTCAAATCGTCCTGTAACTAACGGCGGTAACCAGTACGATAGTACTTCGCATAATATCGTATGGTCGGTCAACCGTGGTAGATTAACAATCAATGGTATCATATTGTTAGATCCTATTGAATTTGTTACTCGTCTTATAAAATTGGGCATATTTATCGGAATCAACGAAAACGATTCATCTGGTCCACCGAACAATGCTAATGAGTTAACCGTTGAACAATTAACAAAAGTACTTTGTGATTTATTATCGAAGTTCTATGTAAGCGACGACTGTCCTAAAAGCAAAAATCTACCGGTAGTGCCTGATTTTGAACCCTTAATAAGAGAGATGAGTTCTCTGCAGATAAATGGAGATTACTTGAAGATGCTGTTTCAAATCACTGAAAAATTAATGAGACGTTCCAAAAATATGGACGATTTTTTACTCCTGACTTTTGCTTTCGTTTGGCAGTATTGTAAAGCAAACCTGAAGCAATGGGGCATGTATTTATGCTCGCAAAGCATTTGTAGTAACAAGATTTTGCATAGAATTATCATTGCAATTTTTGAAGCAATTGATATGGTGGTTAGTAATTTATATCATGCTTTTGAGATATATATAGCTTCTGTTTTGCGTAAAAATGAATAGAGAATATGATTTTCATATGATTAACATAAAAAAGCGAAATTAGAAAAATTATGTATACAGTAGTTCAGTAGTACAGTAGTAATCAACAATTGTTATAGAAATATATATTAGACAGTAAGAAATACATAGAAATATTTATAGCGGCAATAAAGTTTCAGCTTTAAAGTAGGGTAATAAAGTTTTGAGATGCACGCGGTTTATGCCAAGATATCATTGAATAGATATTAAATTGTTTTCTTTAATAATTTATACTAAATATATTATCAGAAATTATATTAAAAGCGAATTTATATCAAAGGAGATGCATCAATGTCCTGCATTAAATATAATCCTGGAAAATCTTATATATGTATATACGTATATTTTTAAAACATATCTTTTGGCGCCGAAGTGTCTTAAATAAATGAATAGTATTATGTATTTCCAAAGTATTGTAATACGAGTAATACCTATGTCTAAGCTATTGTAAAGATGAATAATTTTCGCACAAATTGAGATAATTTTAAGTTCTTGAAAATGTACTGTATTTGTGCCTTTACGCTTCAGTTTTTTTCCCTGTTATGTCCAGATTATATGATTTTCATCGAAAGTTATAAAATAATAAATATTTACTTATTTGCATTTTGTGTTCTTCATTAAGAATAACATTAATTCCCAATTTTAAGTGAAGATCTATAAAGTATCAAGTATAGTGGACGAAAAAAATTAATGTAGCAAAAAAGTTTTATTAAACATTTAACTTTGTAAATAGAAATGTAAGAACTTTATTTGTAAGAAATGTATCTTAATATTTGTACTTTATTGTTCTGATAGAAAAATCAAAAGAAAAGAATAAGTGCAATGATACAATGAAATTATTTCTTGATTTCACAGATTAAAATAATTAACTTATAATTAGACATGTAAAAAGTATATTTATTGTATATATACTTTTATACATATGTTAATTCTTTTATTACACTGAATTTTATTTTAAATTAATATATATAAGGTTCTTTTTTTATAAATATGCTTCTTTGCAAAGTAATATATATTATAAGTATATTATAAATATATAGTGTTCCTTATATTTATTATAGGAATTCTAATACTCGTTTCCAGCAATATAAATTAATTTAAATCTCGGTTCAACTCACTCTTTATTTTTTCTAATACTTAAAAACTAGAAAAATGAAGAGTGGATCGAACCTAAACTAAAATTAGTAGAAATAGACGTAAGAATAACAAAAGGAGGAATATTATTAACATAATTCGAATGCGAGGGCAATTTGCCGCGGTAGCTCTCATGCGGATGCCATCTTAATGCGCGCGTGCGCGTCCGATAATTGAGAATCGGCACGCGACTCAGCACCGAGTCAGCTGACCTGTCTTGTGATAGCAGCTAGACCGGAGTCGCGAGACAGGCGTACAGTTCTCGTTGCTGGTTGGACTTGTGCTGGAAAACGTCACACCTCTCGCCGTGAGTATTTGCGGCCGAGTCAACTGACACGGCCACCGACGTCTTGTCGCTCGTGCGGATGGTTTCCGAGTCAACGTTTCTCCGTTGGAGATCCGTGCGCGAGCGAGCGAACGAGCGTGCTGTAGTATATCGATCCGGTGGCACTTTACGTGCGCCATCGTCTTCCCCGATCGGGCGCGAATTCGTGAAATTCCTAGTCGATTTCCGATCGGGAAAAACGCAGCTCGCCGATCGCACGATAACCGTTGACGACGATGCTTCGCGCGATCGATCGCGGTCGTCTTCGACGAGAAAACAATCTCGCTTCCGTCTAGCAGACGGCCTACGATCTTCGCGGGGCTACGCCTATTTTTTTGAATGGCCTGCTCACGTGAATCGCGCAGCCAGCGCTTGATAGCGCTTCTTCGATAGATCGTCTTCTCGTATACACTGGACTACACGTAACGATTGATTAGTTAGCCTCCGTTTCATCCCTGTTTTCTTGCGCCTGTCGTTTACTTTAATCACAGCGAACGATATATTTATCAGGTTCCTTAATTCTCTTGTGGTGCGAGCGAGGAAAGAAAAAATTCCAGGAAGCGCAGTTTAAAGAAACAGACTTGTTATATTCGCTTGATATATTTCTATCGTATTCTTACTTTTTATCGCTAAGTCCTTATAATTGATTTATTTAAATAAATATATGATTTAAAATATATTTTAATATATTTAAAACAAGTGTTTGCTTTAAATTTAAAGCGTGGGGAAATAAAGTAAAATTGTATTAACTGGCGCACATTCATGTGTAACTCAAACTGTGGCAATTAAGATAGACGAACGTATTTACGCGATAGCGATGCGTTTCTTTTTTTTGCATTTTGTGACATTTAATTTAGAACAAGTAGTTCGATCAGCAAGTAGTTAGTTAGATCATAGTTCGAAAAATCATTAGATAAAAATCGTATTCTTATGCTAGATATAATCAGTGATAAGATATTTTTAATTAATAACTGTCTTGATAAAGTAAAAACTTTTTTATGAAAAAACTATCATGTTATTTATTATTTAAATATTGTTTTTAAAGTAAGAAAATTTTATATTTAATGTTTAAAATGCAGATTGACAAGTTTTTTTAAATTTATTTTGTTTAAATTATATTTTTCTCTTTAAGTTCTATATTTATGTTAAGATGTAACAAAAATAACAAATTTATTATAATTTTCTTAGCTTGATAATTTTTTAATTCTATCTTCTACGAAGTGAAATATTCAAACTTATTGAATATACTAAATATTAAATACGATTTCTTTTTTTGCAGATAAATTAAGTGTTCAAGATGACGAATCATAGTTTGCTGAAAATTGCACATGAGGAACGGGAGAGCAAGTTCGGATATGTCTATGCAGTATCCGGACCTGGTTAGTTTTTCTCACATGAATTTCATCTGATTCTATTATGCACGTTTTACTTGACATTTTCTTGTTGCAGTTGTTACCGCTGAAAAAATGGCTGGATCGGCTATGTACGAGCTGGTACGAGTCGGTTATTACGAGCTGGTAGGAGAAATTATCAGATTGGAAGGTGATATGGCTACGATACAGGTAAGAAGTGTCAACTGTGTACATTTGTGTTTCGTTATAAAAATAGTTTGACTAATCCCGTAACATGTTTAGGTATACGAAGAGACAAGCGGTGTGACAGTTGGTGATCCCGTGCTTCGCACTGGAAAGCCATTGTCCGTTGAATTGGGTCCTGGCATCCTTGGTAGCATTTTCGACGGTATTCAGCGTCCGTTGAAAGACATCAACGAGCTCACAAGCTCGATTTATATCCCGAAAGGTATCAATGTACCGGCGCTTTCGCGTACCGCTAGTTGGGAATTTAATCCGCATAACGTGAAGAATGGCAGCCATATCACAGGCGGTGACTTATACGGCGTCGTGCACGAAAATACTTTAGTAAAGCACTGGATGATCCTGCCTCCTAAATGTAAAGGCACAGTCACGTACGTCGCGCCCGTTGGCAACTACACTGTCGATGTAAGATTTCGTTTATTACGAATTTCATTTTGTAATTTATATCATAAATTTACATAAATATGTAATATCCTTGTAGGATATCGTATTAGAGACCGAATTCGATGGCGAGAGGCAAAAATACACCATGCTTCAGGTATGAAACATCTCTGGGACATAGAGAATTGAATGTATTACAATTTTGAATGTATTACATGTTGTAAATTTACGTTTGTATGCATACAGGTATGGCCAGTCCGTCAACCTCGTCCGGTTACTGAAAAATTGCCAGCTAATCATCCTCTACTCACTGGTCAACGAGTCTTAGACTCTCTCTTCCCGTAAGAATATTCTTCGGATAATACATTGTAAAACGTATCCAGAAATATTTGGAACATATTATATGTGCAACATGCGTGTTATAGTTGCGTTCAAGGCGGAACCACGGCTATTCCTGGTGCTTTCGGTTGCGGTAAGACCGTCATCTCACAGGCCTTATCCAAATATTCTAACTCCGATGTAATCATTTATGTCGGTTGCGGAGAACGTGGTAATGAGATGTCCGAAGTATTGCGAGATTTCCCTGAATTAACCGTGGAGATCGAAGGTGTCACCGAATCCATCATGAAACGTACCGCTCTGGTCGCCAATACGTCTAACATGCCGGTAGCTGCGCGTGAAGCGTCCATTTACACTGGTATGTGTTATCAAGAAAAATCTCATCAATTTATTATAATATAATTAAACAAATAGAACTATATATTATTCAAGCTATGTTAATAAATAATTTGTTATTTGTGACACAGGTATTACACTATCCGAATATTTCCGTGATATGGGTTACAACGTATCGATGATGGCGGACTCGACATCTCGTTGGGCCGAGGCTCTCCGAGAAATTTCGGGTCGTTTAGCTGAAATGCCTGCCGATTCCGGTTATCCTGCTTATCTCGGTGCTCGTTTAGCCAGCTTTTACGAACGCGCCGGAAGGTATGATGTTATCATATCATAATGTACAAAATAATCGAGTTACTATTGTCAAGTATCTCCCTCGAAATCATATCACAGAGAACATATAATATTAATTACATGTATGATCTCGAAAGAAATTTATATTGAAACAAATAGTATTTTATTTGTTAATCAATGGGACTAATATTAGATATTAATTTCCATGCAGAGTGAAATGTTTGGGAAATCCAGACCGTGAAGGATCTGTTAGTATCGTCGGTGCCGTATCACCACCAGGTGGTGACTTTTCTGATCCTGTGACTAGCGCGACACTTGGTATTGTACAGGTATAAAGAATGTCTGCATAAAAAGTAAAAAAAGATACTGATAAAATAATTTTTTAAATAAATTATTTAATTTGTAGGTATTCTGGGGTTTGGATAAGAAACTTGCGCAACGCAAACACTTCCCGTCCATCAATTGGTTGATATCGTACAGTAAATATTTGCGAGCACTGGACGATTTTTACGACAAGAATTTCCCAGAGTTCGTCCCATTGAGAACGAAAGTGAAGGAGATCTTGCAAGAGGAAGAAGATTTGTCGGAAATTGTGCAATTGGTAGGCAAGGCTTCGCTTGCCGAAACGGATAAAATAACACTTGAAGTAGCAAAATTGCTAAAAGACGATTTTCTGCAACAAAACAGGTATGACATATTGTTTTGAAAGTTTTATGAATGTATTATTCATATTGTGAATGGTTGAATATTACTTGGAAGAATTTTTTCATTCTTTTCTGAATCTTTTTTTAAATTTCTTCTAGTTATTCACCGTACGATCGTTTCTGCCCATTTTATAAGACTGTGGGAATGTTGCGAAATATGATCGCATTCTATGATATGGCAAGACACGCAGTGGAATCAACAGCTCAGTCAGACAACAAAATCACATGGAATGTCATTAGGGACAGTATGGGCAATATTCTTTATCAATTGAGCTCTATGAAGTTCAAGGTAGGTAACTCTAAGCATGTGAAAAAGTCTGACTAATCCCTTCTCGTAATTTTATAATTTTAATGTACCTCTTTCTTTTTTTATTAAAACAAAAATTTTGAAACTTTTAGGACCCTGTTAAGGATGGCGAGGCGAAAATCAGGGCAGACTTTGATCAGCTGCATGAAGATATTCAACAGGCGTTCAGGAATTTAGAAGACTAAATTCCTAACTTGCCACTTGTTAAAAGCAATTTTAAGATATTGATTGTTCTTGTAACTTGGCTCTAACATTTAAGAATATCCCGGTCCAACTAGTAAATTGCAAATAGCCTGCTAAAAATACGACTACATGCAGCATTATCGATTATGTCATATATTATTTGCCGAATATACGTCAACTTTGAAAGAGTTTAAGTGAATTGTAAATAGAGAAGCTACGATAAAATTTATTATCATGCAGCGAAATATTCAAGGGAATGTCGTGTCATGTACATGACGATTGTGACAATAAAGTGGGATATTCTTAAATGCATTTCAAGAAGCATACATTTAAAGATACACTCCGCTTCCTTGAGAGTTAACTTACTTCACTCAAGAGCAAAGCTAATTGTAATTAATCTGATATTATCAAAAAGTAATTTTACCCTTCGTGCAGAAATATACTTTCGTTTCCTTTTTGCTTTGTTAAAGATGCATATAATCAGGAAAATTAATAATTCCTATATGTTTTCCGTAAATGTATAATATAAACGAAAGTATAAAACGGCTCGTTTCGAGGCGCGCAAATTAGAATAATGATATACTCTTGATTATCAGCTATGTGGCATGTGAATAACACGACTGTTCTTGCAAAGAGATTGTGAATCGTGAAGTATTAAATATTGTAACATATAATGTACTATTTAAGCGCGAAAAATGATAATCGCAATTGTTATGCATAATTAAGCATACTATACCTTAACGTTACAAACATGATTTAAAAGTTTAGAACAGAACACACATACACACGCATATATGATACGTTAGACAAATGATCAAGGTGCAGGATCTTCGATATCATGAAGATAATTTGAAAGGAAAAAGAACTTGTGAGTGTTCCATTGACTTCGATATCATTTCCATTGTATGATATGTAAAAAAATACAATAAAATTATGCACAAGAGGATCATGATTTGCTGGATATATGGATATGACCATGCCAAATAAACTCTCGTAGACCACTTTTAATAGATCTTGTTTTAATCATTATTATATAACAATAACCTCGCGGTATGTACATTAACGGTATATTACATTTCGATATCTAACGTTTGTTGAATAAAATTTTGAAGTCTTTCGGTAGAATATCATCTTGTATTGACCAAAATACGTTATTACCACATGTACGTTGCTCTATATTTTATAACAAGGCATCACAACTACCGGAGGAAATGCGGTAGTTGTGAGACACCCTGTTTACACACATACATGTGTAAATAAACATATATGTCCATATGTATAATTAATCACAATTACAATGTAAATCCTAAACTCATTCTATTAGATATTCTATTCTATAATTATGAAAACAGTATTAAAAATAAAAAATAGTTAACGACCTCTGTGTAGTTTCTATGTTTTGTTTGTTATCTGTAGACTCTTTATGTGAATTAACGCAAATTACTTCCTTTTTCAAAATAATTTTGACTGCACCGTCGTTTAAACTTTTCGGGAAAAAAAAAAAAAAAGAATATCATGTCAATATTTAATACTCACAGCCATGATGTTTTAACATATGCCAGTACATTGACACGTCTATGTATATACTTAGGTCGGTATTCATAATTGATTTTTGTCTTAACTGTCTTAAGCAGGGTTGGTTAAAGAAAATTCTTTTTTAAACATAACATTGTGTTTTTTTTAAATAGATTTTTAATATAAATAATGTTCAAGGCTCAGAAGAATAAAACTTAATAATAATTAGCCTAATAAGACTATTTAAGCCAATCACAAGATGTTTATTGTGTGAATTAAAAAATTAAAGAATTAAACCATTAGATGTATAATAATCGTAACTAATCGTAAACGTTTCGACCTATGGTTAAGATCCTTATCAATACTTCAATACGCGTTAAAAATATATCGACTTGTAACTACCGAATGGAAATCATGCGTTTGAATACACTTTATTGTTTTATGGAACCTATCAGTCTCATGAAACATATAAAGTTGTTCAAAAAAACCAATGACGCTTGAGCAATCATTAAACTAGTAAATTTGATAACCTACAAAGCGGTTGGACATTATCATAATGATAGTTGGACAATTCAGATATATTTTTAACGCGTATTGAAGTATTGATAAGGACCTTAACCATAGGTCGAAACGTTTACGATTAGTTACGATTATTATACATCTAATGGTTTAATTCTTTAATTTTTTAATTCACACAATAAATATCTTGTGATTGGCTCAAATAGGCTTATTAGGCTAATTATTATTATATTTTTAATGTTTTGAACATATTTTAAATAAATTAAAAAAGCATATTTAAAACATGTTTTTTACCAACCCTGATCTTAAGATGAAGCCATGAGCCAATTAGAAAGCCACATCTTATTAAAACATTACTTAAGATGGTGTTAAAACAAGAACGGCTATAAATACCGGCCTTAGAAAAGTTAATTGTAACAATCATAACTACACAATTATTATAAATATTCTTCTTTCTCTATTTCATCTAGTTTATTATTAAATAATACGCATAGAGAAATATATTTTCAAAAAAATTTAAAAAAATTTCAGTATATATGTAACATAATCAATATATAATCCATATGTACATATATTATTTACGTCATTAACATAAAGTTGATCCTTTGACAAGATACTTTTTTTATAAGTTTATATGCACGTTTAATTTTGTTCGTGTTGCAATTTGTAATCTATTATCCCAAGGTAGTTACAGAATAAAATAAAATTATTCTTCTAGACTTTCTTATAACTTTCGATTGTATCATAACTATGAATGTATAAAAATTTTTACTTATTTTTTCAGTTTTCACTTAAAAAAATAGATTTAATAACTATAAAAAAAACTTTTCGCTACAATGAGAGAAACTTTTAAATCTTTCTGTAAAATATAAAATGTTAGGGATGCATCGGATCGTAAAATTACCGGATATCCGGACAGAATGTAACATCAGATATCCGGTATCCGATCGGATATCCGACATTTTCCGGATATCCGACAGGATTCCGGGAAAATGTTTTCTTAAAAAAAGAAAAACACCTATAAAGAAAAAAATTGGAATTTTGCAACAATATATGAGACAGTATAGCGCATTGTGAATATGCATACTTATTTCTAGAACATTTGTATAATAAAGTATCAACAATTTAATTGATATCAAATTTCAACCGGATATATTCCCGGATATTGATGACATCCGATTATCCGGTCGGATAGTAAAAAAATGCTGGATAATACCGGATACCGGATACTTTTCGGATATCCGGTGCATCCCTATAAAATGTTTCATTTGCCAAGCAAAAGTCGATATTTGAAATTAATTTAAATTAATCCACTGAATATTTTCAGAACATTTCCTATTCCATAGGAAAGCAGCCTGATATCGTTTAGTATAAATGTGTAATTATGACTATATTACTAAAAATACCTATATTATAAATTTGATTCTGAAAAAAATCAAGATATCTTAAAACTCTTGGTAAGACTGGTGCAGTCATCAGAGAAAAGAATAGAATTAGATTCCCATGTGTGACAAGACACAACTCATAGATTCTAATATTTACAGAAAGAGCTACTGACTCACGAATTAGAGGAAGCTTAAGGACTCAAATGTATAACGTCGGTACTATCGGTCGGGGACGAAGACGATATTTGCGATCTGAGTTGAAGATTATCGCGTTTCAATTGAGTAACTACTTGTTTCAATGATATGATTTCTTGCCGTAGCTTGTCGTTATCTCGCAGGCATTGGCTTAGACTTTGATTAGCTGCACGCAATTCTCCTATGTACTCGCAAGCTCTCGCTAAGATACCTCCTTTACTCTGTTATAGAAAAATAACATTGTGTTAATATAATATCGTTTAAACAATTATTACGACAAAAATTTCAATCTACTATACCTGAGTTTCATAATTAGTTTTCCCATCTCCGCTACCACTGCCGCTACTACCGGTGGTATTAGTTGTAGTATTACAATCAGGGATGATCTTGCCCAACTTTGTAATCCAATTATTTATTTTATCTCTACGCCGACGCTCGACCTCATTATGCGTTGCTCTCCGCCTATCGTCTCTCTAAAAGAAAACAAAAAAAAAGAAATAACTTTTTTGTACACTAGAGAAAATATAAAGTAATGATATCAATCAATTACATAAAGAGTAAAGATATAATTATGATTAACCTTTTTTAAGCCAGCAGTGCAATTCCTCGGGGTTTCTATCTGCAACGTAGCAGTTCTTGGCACCAAGGATCTTGAAGTCTGAGCTGTAGTAAAGACATCGTTGGCATTCCCGATAACATAAAACTGACCATTCAAAGGTGACGTTAAAACCTGTACAGTATTATTCCCCGGTTGCGATGCAGGTATCTCTATCTCATTAGCCGACTGTATAGCTGCTGTACCGTTCACCTGAACAACTCGGTATGCTAAAGTTTCTGGATAACGCATTTCATCGTCTCCAACGGGTTCTCCTAAAAGAAACAGAATACGCAACTATAAAAATTAGTGATCGACAGCATAGCGTTCATCAAATAAGTCATCATGTTTAATCTAAATATTGATATAAACTAATACAAGCTTTGCTTTTAGGAGACACACTCGACACAAATGTCGTCTATCTTTGGCTGCTTCTCTTTTAAGAAACACAGTTGATATAACTGTTATTCTATCTTTCTTGGCATTCAATGATTAACAAAGATAGAATGATACCTGACAATTGTATTTCTTAAAAGGAAAACTGTCTCTGTTATTCATTAAATAATAAGAATGATAGAACAATATTGTATGTCAACTATAGTTGGTATTCATAGTCAATTCTTATATTAAAGACTATTTTCAGTACAGTCATAAGCCAATCAGAAAGATGTATTAGCATCTTAAGACATTACTTAAGATGGTTTTAAAACAAGACTCAACTATGAATACCGGTCTTTGTAATACCGATCATAGTTTACGAATAGAAGAAGACGAAGATCTCATGAAAATATGGCTCTCACCTTCGCAGTCCACAATCTCTGCTTCCTCTATCACGATTCCCGTCGTGCCACCACCGTCATTCTTCACGGTGCTGCAAAATCAAAATAACACTTTCAGACGCGGTATTGTCTTATCTTAACACGGTTACACGCTACGTGTATTACTTCGATGATTGTGTGTGTCGATCCTACGGCGTAAGTGCGCACTGTGCACTAAGTGATGATGACCTTGAGGAGACCTCGGACGAGATGGAAAGGAATGTGTTTGCAATACCGTGCGATCGATATTTAATGTAAACGCTACCTGACATCCTGTTGTTCGAGTTGTTGCTCCAAAATGTCCATTCCTCAGCACCGAAAAAAAAACGTTTGAATTTGTCGAAATTCACGTGAGCTGGTCACGGGACACGGCAACGAGGTCATGTGGTGCATTAAGATGGCGTCGAGTGTCGCACGCACCATCCAGCGGCGCAACACGTCAAAGAGACGAGTAATGTCCCAATTACGTAGACACCGTCGATAACTCCAGTATACAATTTTATATATTTTTATATCTGGAATGGTTGTGTATATTGTTTACGTTCAATTTATATGAATTATCTCTTTTATATAGACAGTACAAATAATGTAAAATTACTTCCAATAAAGAAAGAATTAGCAATTATAAGTTTTATGATTGACGATCGATATATCTTCATTATAATTGATAAACAAAAATCAATTAAAATAAAATTAAGCTTTAGTGCAGTCTATAATAAAAGACGTATCAATGATCCATAGATTTTTTTACATAAATGTGTAGATTAATTTTAATTTTGGTTTAACTTACTTTTTATCTTTTTAGAGATGATCTTAAGCTAGTGCATGAACCAATCTGTGAACGGTATTCATAGTCAGTTCTTATATTCAAGATCGTCTTAAGTTTTGTCTTGGGTGTCACGAACCAATCAGAGGGCCGCATTAGTGTCTTAAGACATTACTTAAGACGGTCTTGAATATAAGATCTGACTATGGCCGGTATTCATAGTCAGATCTTATATTTAAGACCGTCTTAAGTAATGTCTTAAGACGCTAATGCAGCTTTCTGATTGGTTCATGACACCTCAAGGCTGAACTTAAGACGGTCTTGAATATAAGATCTGACTATGGCCGGTATTCATAGTCAGATCTTATATTTAAGACCGTCTTAAGTTCAGCCTTGAGGTGTCATGAACCAATCAGAAAGCTGCATTAGCGTCTTAAGACATTACTTAAGACGGTCTTTAAATATTAATCATATTAACATCTAATGCCTGGTTTATGCTTTGGTCTTAATATTAAAATCCTAAAATTCAGCCAATGGAATACAGTTTTCCATTAAGATCAATTAAGACTGACAGGCCTATTGGCTGAATTTTAAGATTTTAGGATTAAGACCGAAGCATAAACCAAGCATTAGACGTTGCTTGAGATTAAGACCGGACTATGTGGGTTCCGTCCATAGTGTTCTAAGAATTAGAAAAAGATAAAGAGTAAATTAAATCAAGATTAAAATTAATCAATATTGGTAGAAATGGAATTATATAGAAATGAGACAATGGCTGCATTCAGCGGACTCAACTGTTGAGTCCGCTGAATGCACCCATTAGAGGTGGCGGAAGTTCGTAATTCGATTTTTCTTCCACCGTGGGCAGCACCGTCGTTCCCTCACCACCGCTATTGACATCCCACGCATCTTGAGGAATCCGATATCCAATTTTTCTCCGCAGTGGCGCAGTCTCCGCGAGGGTCCACCACCCGCGCCGCGTGCATTTCGTTATGTTTTTGCCCGCCGGAATTTTACGCGGAAACGTTAGACCACGTTAGACGTGAATAGCCGATAAGTCACACGATTACGTTTTGTGCTCGTTGGTGTAATCGAAAATCGCGCAATAATCCATTCCCGCCGAAACCGCGAGATCTCCTCGGCACTCGTCAAGATGACTAGGTGAGCGCGCGAACTTTTTGAGGTTATATCCAATTCGACATTACGAGTTTCCCCGCTTTGTCGACTTTTCTCGCGTGGAAAACGCGCAACAAGCGTTGTATCTCCCGTTTTCAAAATTTGTTGAAGTTAAAAGCCATCCTTTTAAAAAGCCTCACTTTTAATGTCACACAGTCATGTGTATTCGATTTTCAGATCGAAGATAGAACTGGGCGACGTGACACCGCACAACATAAAACAGCTGAAATTGCTCAATCAAGTCGTATTCCCGGTCTCGTACAACGAAAAGTTTTACAAGGATGTACTGGAAGCCGGAGAACTCGCTAAACTAGCATATTACAATGACATAGTGGTAGATAGATTTTTAGTGTTTTTCGTTTAGCACCGCGATCCTCAAATTTTGCTTTATGATTATTCAAAGAACATGACATTGTTTACTAAAAATGAGCTAATTTAAATAGAGATTAATTGTGAAGAAAATCTATATTTTATTATATCATTTAACCTCGCTATTCTGTTCAAGATTTATTATACAATCACATTGTTTAGGTCAATACAATCAAAAATCTCTAATAAAAAATATGTATTAATAGACAAAGTTATCAAATATCTGAAAATAAATTACATTTTGAGTTAAATAAACTTGAATAGGACAGCAAGATTAAAGTACTTTTCACAGATTAAGAAAGTTCAAAGATTATTGTATAATATTAAATTTGACTTGAATATAAATTAGGTTTTAATTTGTGGCATGATTCTCAGGTTGGAGCAGTTTGCTGCCGTGTAGATACTTCAGAAAATTCTAGGCGTTTATATATAATGACATTGGGTTGTCTCTATCCTTATAGAAGATTAGGAATTGGCACTGTTATGGTCCAGCACGTTTTAAACTATGTTAACAAGGATGGTAATTTCGACTCTATCTTCCTGTAAGTATGACTTGCAGTTTTATTGTGACATATTATTTTGGAAGTTTTTAAATTAACATAATCGTCTGACGTTCGCAGACATGTTCAAATAAGTAATGAGGGCGCGATTGATTTTTATAAGAAATTTGGATTTGAGATTGTCGAAACTAAAGAGCATTATTATAAGAGAATAGAACCAGCGGACGCACATGTGCTGCAGAAAACATTGCGTCCACGAACAAATCAAACGAATCATCAAACGGTCAACTAATAAGTAGCATTGTTCATTAATTTATCTTTTTCATAATTTAGAATCTACATACGTTTCCATGTTCTGTCAATAAAAACATTTTATATTATATCTGCATGATGTGAGTCAAATTAATCTTTCCCGTTTATTCTATACCATGCTTAGTGCTGAGACACTACTGTGTCTCCAGATATTTTTGCATGTGCAAAAAGATATAATTGGATTAAGAGAGATGTGAAATTATAACGAAAGATTAAAAGATAAAAATATGCAAAAAATTTTTCTTTAAAAATAAGATATACGACTGCAATTTCTGTATACATTGTTTTTATTATCCATCAATCTTTCTACTCAGATGTACTTAAAAATTTGTACGACATTTAAGCCATGTTTTCTTAGAAAATTATGGCATTAAAACAATTACAAGCACATTGAAAAATATATTCATAAGAAATGAGTGTTGAGAACATTGGATATCTCATATCAAAAATATTGTGTAAAATGAGTATTACAGGAATAAGTGCACGCGCTCGCAGAGAAAACTCATAAAGAAAAATTTTAATTACTATCTAACGTAATATATTATATAGTGTCTCAAATATATTCATAAAAATACATTATTTTACTTGTGTAAGAAAACAAAATAAATTAATATTAAATATCTGTTTTTATATATGTATAGGACGTTCTTTACTAATACATAGTCGAATATTAGATTCGAAACATACTATATTCTAATCATTTTAGATAATGCCGTTCAATACAATATATAACATCAATATGACAACAATAACTAATACAGCTAATACAGTAGAAAATTACTAGTGTAAAGCATCGTCTATTATATACCTAACTCCTGAAATATTACAAAATATAGTTAAGCCGCAGAAAACAATAACAGGTGTTTAGACAATCATATTCGCTGTATAAATAGGTGTTGCTGCAACAGACTGAAGTACATCTTCTGCTCGTCCTAGGTCAATGTATTTTAACAGTAAGTTTTTTTTATTAGTATTGGACAATTATAGTTCCAGTAACTCTTTTATTCTTCTAACACAGATCTCTGAGCCTTCCATTGCTTCTTTCGAAGTCTGTAAGTAACAAAGTAATACAATATTGCGTTAGTACAATTGATTCATATATAATAAAAACAAACGTGTGTATGTGTATATATATCTATCTATCTTACCTGTACAAGATTGAGAAATCCGTGTGGCAAACCCGACAAAATATCTAATGTAACTTTATTACCAAGTGAGCGAAGCTTCCTCGCAAACATGATGCAGTCATCGAGACAAGGATCAAGATGACATGTCTAGAAGCAAAGTATCATGTACAAGACATCTTAAAACTTTCGATCTTAATAGCGGCTAAAGTTCATTACGTTTTATTAGAGTGTAACAAAAATTCAAACAAGTACCAGTATCTTTATGGGCGGTATATTAGCTAGCATATTATCGGGTGCATTATAAGGGCTCAAGAAGGGATCCTTCGGTATCGCAAAAACGAATTCCTCAGAAGAAATGACGTTCTCCATATTAAGTTCTCTGCTATCCTTACTACTTCTTCTACCAAAGGACCACCCGAATAAAGACCATGATTTGTTACTTTGTCCTGAATTATTACCATTTCTATTGACGCTGCCATTCATTGCAACAGGCGATGACGTTGAAGCAAGGCCGGAATTTCTGTACATATTTAAAAATCTGTTGATATATTCTCGAGACTTCGCCTGTGCTTTCGGACATTCAGCACCTGTTGTATTAAAAGATTTTTTTAAATGTATATTCGAGAAGTAAATTTATATTAATGAACACTATGAGAGCATATACTGTCTAATTTATATGTACCATCGACTTCTGTTAAACTAACAGAATTTAATGTCGAATCGGATGGAAGGGATACTAATTTCTGATCATCGTTTGCGCCGTCTCCGTTTGGACTCAGAGCTAATGCTATAAGGTCACTTTCGCTCACTTCTGCAAAAGATTCCGTATCCGATTTGACATCTTCATTTTCGTGTTCTCTGTCAGGCATAAATCGATTACATATATGCAAAATATGATCATTCAATATTAGCTACGAAATATGTACATAAATATTGATATATTTAGATGATTTAATTTTGTTTCATGTTTTTAAAAATAAGTTGATTAAAATAAGGTATAATTTTCATTGAAATCTTACCTTGTGGGTTTCTTATTATCAGCTATATAAGCCTTCAAACATCGTAACATAAAACCGAACGGTAATAATGGATCCGTGAGACAAAGCATACGAGAGGGCGACGGTATAAATTCAATGCGTACTGGTGCATACGCCATAAAAATACCGTCTGGTTTTCTTATATTTAATTGCATACATCTAAAAATAACTCCCAAGTTTATGTTTCCTCCTGCAGAATCACCTATTAAAACATCAGAAAATTTTTGAGTTTATTCAATCGACAGAAACACGTAAAGAAATTATTTTTTTTGTCTTACCAACAAGTATCACTTTTTTTGCAGTACTTCCGAGTAAGGTATTTGCATGTTTTAACGCCCATGCATAAGCATACAGCACCTCTTCGAGTGCACGAGGATAGGGTGCCTCTGGAGCTAAACTATAATCTATACTCAAGATTGGTACTCCAAGCGTCACAGTCCAATTTCGTAGATATATTTCGTGCGATCGTGAAGTTTGTGAAACAAATCCGCCACCGTGAGTATGAATAATTAGTTCGTCGCATAGACCACATAATGTCCCACCTATACCTCCAGACCCAACCTTGTGACAGAATGTTATTAAAAATTATGAAAAATATCCACCAGCATCAGCTTAAAAAATTCTCTATAAATTCTATTCTAAATTGCATAACTTATATATCTCAGGATTATATTTGAGGATATAATTAAATAAAACGTGCGCGCGTACAGTACTTTCAATACTCTATAAGTTTATAAACATATTAATATTTTATGTACCATTCCTAGACGCCGTTTGGAGCTTAGCAACCTAACGTGGATTGGTTTCTTTCCAATGTGACTATTTGGTATTGGAACTGAAATGGTCCCTTCATCTAAAGTAGGTAGAACTAATTCCTCGGGCGGAATAGATATTACCTGATTGATTGCTAAATTCGAGGTGTTTATCATGTTCATTATTGCTGAAATGGAAATCAAAGAAATTCCATTAATTGAATATACAAGAAAGATAATTCTATCTAAATGGGCATCTTTATTATTGCATATAAGGCTTTTTAAATGCAGAACATTAAATATTCACGTGTGCGAAATATTTTCACTTAATATTTTTGAGAGAGAGAGAGAGAGAGAGAGAGAGAGAGAGAGAGAGAGAGAGAGAGAGAAATCACAATTCCTCATTCCTTACCAGATTCGCTCAGAAACCAAAATGCTTGGCAGAAAGAAATGTCAGCGTGCTGAGATATATTAACAATACGACGTGCTCTTGCTTCGGGATCTAATAAATACTTAATAGAATTAGTGCATAGTCCTAGTAGGGTACCATTGCTGTAATACATTTCGCTGAAGGACGCCATAAAGAATGACAGTGTTTTTAATACATGTCTTAAACTATCACAAAACTGAAAAAAAAAAACATTTTAGACAAATAGACACTTTAGATGAATTCAGCTTAAGCGCAAGTATTATTTATTCTCCAAGTACCTGAAATCCTAGGCACCTGCCATAAAAGCAGTATTGATTAACGTTCTGCGCAATACTGAGAAGTTCTTGAGTACTGTATTGTTCTAGAGGGAACAGTGACAGCTTTCCATCATTCATTACTTCTGTGCTCCACGAGTACATTGTTTTTAAATGCTGTAAACATGTAAAGAGTGATGCCAATAGCTGAGAGCATGCTTCTATTTCCCTAAAAATCCAGATTAAATGTAGTCTATTGTTACACCCAGAAGCAAATATAAGATATGATTTGTATAGTGTACAATTACTTCATGTAGTAGCTCTTTCGGAAAAACACGGAGTCTTTCTGATCGTGTATCTGCTGGCAAATCAGCTCGGAATACATGATACACTTATCTACCAACGACAGGAAACTTCTGTATCCATTTCCCAGGGTGTCTTCGTCGAAGTCAAAGTGTGACGCGAACCCGGCGATCTCCCTGTACAGCGGCTGCAGTTCAGTCAGGTAATCCTTGATCGCCACGAAGGCAGCCCTGATCCTGACGCCGTTCTTATCCTGGTGGGAATCAAAATACTTCTCGTTGGCACAGCACAACTCGCGCAACGTGTTCCAGTCGTCCAACTGCTGGGGCTCAAAATCAAACGGCCTTTCGAAGTCATCGTTACACGTCGACATTTGGAACGATTCTCTGAAAGACAACTGGAGCGACACACTCTTTTTTCCTCTTTTTCTGTCTTTCTCTATCGAGAGGACTTCGCGGATCAATTGCCAACAATCCAACGATCAAAACAAATCTTGACTTTGTTACGCATCCTAGACAACTACCGATTGCCCAACGTGAACTCCCGACCTGTCATAAAGGATGATAACGATTATGATTCCACGCGCATAGTTGCGTGACTATGTCAAAAGGTGACTTGACATCGCGCTGACAGCGCGGCTCCACGGCGAGGTTAATCCGTCCCCGGCGCGAATACCGTACTCTTCTCCCAATATATCGCGAGGGTCGACGACGACGGCGACAATTCACGTTTTGCGCTGCCGCGACGCTGCGATCGATTCCGCTCGCGGCGAGTCGCGGCGCGAAGAATCGCGCGGCTTGACTTGACAGTGTTACTTTGACACCCGTCGACGAGGAATCGCGAAACGGGATCGCGCTCCAGTTTCTTTCCTCTGGAGTGTCCCGCAACCCGCGAGCATATCGCGTGTCAGACAAACCGGATGGAGTGGGATGCGCAATAATGTTTCTCGGTCAAGCAAGGAAATCGACGAAGGCTGACATTTTAATAAGAACTTACTTACGCGCGCGCGTTCTTTTCTTGTTTGTGTTTAAAAGCATTGAGGAGCATTGGGGATTATATATAGAGATACTAATATATGTATATATGTCTGTGAGATTATATAACGATTCTTTGCGATTCACCTAAGTAATTTTCTGCAAGAAAAACAACAGCCACCTAAGTAATTTTCCGCATGTAAAAACAAGAAATTTACTATAATTTTCTGCGATCGACTCATCCGCACGTTTAACTGAATGGGCGCGTTCAAGTTGACAAAGCGGCTTGCCTGCTCACCAAGCAAATGAATATAATTGATTGTTATTTATAGATCCAATCAATCATATTCAATCGCTCGGTAAGCATGCCTAGTTGCTTTGTCGTCTTGAACTCGTCCAATGATAATTCGATAAGAACCTGGGAAAATGTTATATGTGAATGTATCTACATATTTTATAAGTATTATATAATTGTATAAAAAATATGTCAATTTTTTTATATAATTATATGTATATGAATAAACATTTTTTCCCGGGAATAAATGATTCATGAATATATGAATAGTAATAAAGGAAATGATAACACGAAACGATAATTAAGTCATAATGAATAAATGATATAATAATGCTGAATGAGGTAGTATTATTTTCCTGCAAATAAAACTCGACTTTAAATTCCTTAGAATTTGAATAAAATTCCGTCTACGGTTTTTGTATCAATATAATATGAGTAACATTTAAAAATGGAAATACATAAAATTAATAAAATATATAACATGAATAAATATATAATAAATATGATGAAATGTTTATATATATATATATATATA